CATGGGTTGCTGTCACTTTGCTGCTGGTGATATTTGGCCTCTTTACTGCCACCTCTCAGCCCCACTGCTGAGGAGGGGGACAGAGCAGCCACTGCCTCTTTATTGCATTGCTTTGAAGAAGAGTACAGGGCAAACATGAGCTTAGCAGCAGGCTTGTTACTGTGTCTTTCCTGCTTCCTTCTCATGAGTCTCCCAAGGGCAGATTTGTTGCTACCTTAGGAATTAAGGAAGCCCCTACTCTCTTGTTAGGGTCTGGACTAGGACTTACTTGCTACCTTGTTTTTGAAGCATTGGACCAAGCGCTGCACTACAGACAGGAGAGAAATAGTAGCACCTTGTAGTTTCTAACAGGTCCTTTAGCCACTTTGTCTCGTCAATATAAATATATATTGCATAGCAAGAGTATCTAGAGGCCATGTTTTATCCCCAGTCTGTGCTCACCCTTGTTTGTGGCAGAATACCACTGCCCTGTTGTGCAGTTTCATTTATGCTTTTACCCAAATTACTGTGAACTTACCATACGGTGGCAAAAAAAAACCAACTTAAATGAGCCTTGTGCTGTATGTCTTTATTTCTAACACTGCCCATACTACAAACCTCAGCTTAGTTCTGCAACCATCGGGTAGGGAACTTCCTCAGAATCAAACTGCCTCTCACACAGACTGATTTAGTGCAGTTGTGCTGCTTGTCAGCTGATACCAACTGCTCTCCAGTGAGGTTAATGAATCAGCACAACTTCTCGTCCTTCCCTTATTTATTTGACATTGATGCTGGACTCTCAGGCAGGACAGTCTTGCTTTAATTGCTCACATGCACAAATGAGCCTGGTTTGTGTTTTCTGCCTGAATGCACGTGCCCTGGTGATCACCACATGGCCCTCTGCACCCCGGACACCTGAGCGTGGTCAGCAAAGTGGCGGAAAACGATTCTGCTGAGCCTCCAGCGCCGCCTCACGCCCCGGGGGCGGGATGTCAGGACACACCTGTTCCGGATCCGCGAGGGGCAGCTGTCCCGGGGCAGGGCCGCGATCTCCTTGTCAGCCACTTCCTAAAACACAAGGCCACAGCACTGAGTTAACCTGTGCAGGTACCACCACAAGCTTCTCTACCACCTCACAAGTGAACTTTGCTGTCTTCCTCACTCAGCCCTTTCGTTCTGGGCATCCCAACAATGAATGTAAACTGATCCACGGGGAGACCCCAAAGTTAGCCTTATGATACAGACAGAACAATCTCAAGCCACTAATTACAGTCAAACCAGCTTGTCTCTGTCCATGTGCCAGGGTGGGCTAGCCCTTTAATAGACCCAAAATTTAACCTTATTACAAGACTGAACAACCTCAAGCCAGGAATTACAGTTAGTTAAAAATCCACTTGGCTTTCTCCTTGTTGCAGGGTGGGCTAATCCTTTAAGATAAGCTGAATTAAATACGTGGTTTTTATTAACTACCTGCCCAGGTAACATTCTTTGATGTCAGTAAAAGGGGTCACATACAGTGTACTTTGGAAGGTGTTACAGGGCTTTCTTTTGGGTTTTTTTTTCCAGTGTTTCTTGGTTTTGTCCTGTAAGAACATCCAACACCAGCCAGACTTACCAAGAGAATGGTACAGTCAATATATAAAAGCAAATGCATACATTTTCTCTCCCAGGATGTTTTAAGTGTAAAAGGATCTTGCCATAACTAGGTGTAGCCAGATCCAATACATACAGGAATAATCTGATACTTGCAGATGTTTTTAGTGCTTAGTGAGACACTCTGCTGGGAGCACAGCAGTGAATATGTGCATTTTTATGAACAGATCCAACAGCCAGATCTGATGCAGCCTTCACATGCCTGTAGCTCAGGCAAGAAGTAAAATTAAGCATTTCTAATTGATCAAATTGCTGGTTTGGCTGGATCAGGCTTCCAGGTCTTTACATAAGCAAAAAAAAAAAATCCAAAGTTTATTTAGGAAGCTATAAAAGTAACCATGTAACATCACATATTATCAGAAATAAGGAAAACAGGTTTGTGAATGTATGGTAGTGACAGCATGAGGAGGAAAAAATGTGATTTCACTGTATCTAGTGTTAGATGTGCTGCTTACATGAGAAGCACTGTTTTTAAAAAACCCCACAACCCAGCACACACATCCTCCAGCCAGGCGAATACAGTGTTGTTGTACACACCCCCAAAAGGCTGAGGTAACTGCAACGTGACATTCTGTGCTTGTGAGCTGGGCAAACACAAGCGCTCGTGACCTGGCACAGCCATCTGGGTCTGTAAAGTGACCCAGAGCACATCACAGCAGTGAGAGCCACTGGCGGGGCACAGCTGTGGGGTGGCTGCTGGTACCTGCAGCTCCTTGGGAAGGATGGTGTTCTTGCGGATGGCGTTGATCCGCAGCCTCTCGTCGGCGTACTCGTAGGCCAGCCTCCTTCTCTTGACGTCCCGCAGCATCCTCCAGTCCACGTAGTAGCTCCGCACCTGCCCCGGGCAGGGCGAGGGGAGAACCTAGTTCAAGAAACGAAGTTTGTCACACCTGCCTGCTGCATGTAGTTTGCCCCAGTCACATAAGAATTGTTATTTCCATAAATCATGGAATGCCGTGAGTTGGAAGGGACCCACAAGGATCCTTGGGTCCGACCTCAGCCCTGCAGACACCCCAACAATCCCCCTCATCCTTGAGAGCGTTGTCCAAACCCTCCTGGAGCTCTGGCAGCCTTGGTGCTGTGCCCACTGCCCTGGGGAGCCTGGTCAGTGCCAACCACCCTCTGGGGGAAGAACCTTTTCCTGAGTTCCAACCTGACCCTGCCCTGGCACAGCTCCAGCCCTTCCCTGGGTCCTGTCACCGGTCACAGGGAGCAGAGATCGGTGCTGCCCCTCGTGAGGAAGCTGCAGACTGCCATGGGGTATAAGAAGGGTAACGTGTGACCCAGCTTGGCTGTCGAAGGCAGCGAGGAGTTCACGGAACGGAGTTTACGGTACGGGAGGCACAGCGAGCCCCAACTTACACCGAACCCACGTTACACCCGGACCCGCGCAGCCCGGGCCGCCGCGGGGCTGGGGCCGAGCCCGCAGCCATCTAACAACACCCGCAGCCCCCCTGCCCGCTGCCCGGCGCCCCGGCCGGGCACACAGGGCCCCGAAGAGGAGCGGCGAGGGAGGGAGGGAGAGAGGGAGGGATGGTCTGACCTGCCGAGCCGCCCTCAGCGCCCAGCCCAGCGCGGCCGCGGCCATCTTGTCGCCGCGCGTGCGCGTGCGCGTGCGCGGGCATGGCGGGTCATGCGCGGACATGGCGGGTGCGGCCCCTCAGGGCGCTCCCCCTTCCCTGCCGCTCCCCCTTCCCCCTTCCCTGCCGCTGCATTCCCGCCATTCCCGACGGTTCTGCCGCTGGAAACGAAATGAAGGCCCCGACCGCGTCAGAGGGCTGTGCTGTGTACCCTACAGCTGATGCAGAGCTTTCTAAAGCAGCGGAGGTTTGGACAGCAGAGTAGTTTCACCGCAGCAAATAAAGGCAAATAATCCGTTTGGTTAAACTAAATGATACTTATGGAGAGTCTGTAAAATTAGTAGTTTGTCTCAGCTGAATGCCTCGCTGAGAAAAGCATTGTATCCTGTGACTACAAGTGCCCCTTTCTGTCCTCAGTCCCATCTCCATGTTACTTAGACACACAGAAGACCTGTCCCCCAAACCTTCAGGCACTGAGCTGCAGGAGGGAAGACATGCAGAATTGGATTATTGGAATCTTTCACACAAATACTGCAGGTTGTCCCCAGCTTTGATCATCTCGTGCTTTCCTCTGCAAAAGGTGGAAAGATATGAGCAAGGCTTCTTCCATCCCTTCCCTTAGGATCGTATTCTGTGCCTGCCAGATCTGACTTAGGCACTCTTTCCTAAATTATTTCTTTCCCTAATCTGCTGTTATTGCCAGTTATATGTATGACATGATATTCTCTACAAAGAGTCAGTTAAACCCACTCCTTTTAACAGCAGGGAAAAATCTCTTTATTGCACGATGAGGAAGCCAAAAGAAGCTGTTTTCTTTTATTATGCTTGATAGAAATGCTTATGTTTAGAGGTTTTTCCTCCTGAGTGATCTCTAAGCCCAGGAAAATCTGAGATCAATCTGTGGTTTCCATGAAGCCCTAATTAGTCATGACATCATGGTACAACCCAGAATGTCATTAATCACTTGGTGCTGAGTAAAGGGATTTTGTGCACGTGTCTGTCTGTTTGGGGACTTCATCTAGAATTTATAAAGTTGGAAAAGCCCTCTAAGCTCAAGTCCAACCATTAGCTCAGCACTACCAAGCCCATCACTAAACCATGTCCAAGAGCCACATCTACACGTCTTTTAAATCCATCCAGGGATGGTGATTGCACCACTGCCATGGGCAGCCTGTGCCAGTGCCAGTGCCTGACCACCTTTTCAGTAAAGCAATTTTTCCTAATATCATGTAAGGCTATAAGATAAGGAATTGTAGACTGAATCTTGAAATCCATACCCTATTTTGGTTGGTGTCAGTGATGATTTTGCTTGAAGAGATGCACTAGGATGGCCTGCAAAACACATATAATCAGGTGTAATATGTATTTTCAATGGTGGTGGGGCTTTGTTTTGTTCTTAGAAACCAAAGCCTCATGTTTCTGAGCAGGAAGGACACCTTCCTATAGCTGTGCTGCCAATGGGAGGTAGGAATCTAATGGTAGGGATATTTCCCGAGGTTTTGCAGATATTTAGGAGAGATAAGGATGTTTCACAGAAACAGTTCATTTTCATCATCACTCAGGATTGCATGACTCTCAGAAATGTGATTATAAATTATTATTATATATTATATATATATCAGGGCAGCACTATTATCTGAGTTCAGATGTGCTGTTACTGTGGATGCATATTGGCCAAATGCTTTCTAGTTATCACATTACCTAATTTAGCACTTAAATAATATTTTTCTTCCACTTGTGCAATGAATAATATGACCGCTTAGTAAGACACATATGGTGGCATTTTGCATTTGGATCCTGTGGTATGAAGTTCTAACTTTTTAACCAAGTGAATATCATCTCCTGTACAGATTGACATCTACCATTAATGCCAACACTTAGTGCGTAACGCTGAATAAGCCAACTGATGAGTTTAGGTTTCTAACTTTATATTTTATCCTTCCACCCCTGCTTGTTCAGCTTCTTCCTTCCTGTTATTCTTTTCTACGAGGTGTTCATTTAGTCCAAAAATTCTTGCTTGGTTGACAGCACAAAACTTTTACAGAAAACAGTTTTGTTTCTGTCAAAGATTAGACCTGAAGGCTTGAAGTTCAGTTTTGACCTCTAAATGTCAATTAAGTTAAACAGTAATATTTTGTGTATTTTTAAGTCTTAGTTTTGAGCCTTACTCAGCCTGAAAACAAGCTCTGCCTATATATTTATGCAGGGTAGGAAAGAACTATTCTTTGTGAAATAAAAACACAGGAAAACAAATAGGTTTGCAGCACATCTTACTCCGTGTGTACTCAGATGTGCTCTAGTAGCTTCTAAATGAACCTTGCCCAATGCTAAGATGATAAATCAGATAAATGAGTCAAAGAAAAATAAACTTGAAATCCCTCAATCTAGTGTTCGGGCACACAAAATGCCAGCGCATTGGTGTCAAAGGGAGGGAATTTTTTAATTCTCCCAAATCCAAATAACAGTGTGGGCCATGTGCTGTGTTAGAAGAGTAATGTAAAGTGGGCAAAACTACCTCCCAAACTTCCTGTACCAAAAGATCAATGCCAGCTCTCTGAATTCTCCATGTGCACAGCATCAGCACAGTCATCAGGCTTTGAGGTGAACACTACGCAAGGTGCTGGAGACTGAAGGTTGCAAACTTAGAGCTCCTAGTTGGAGGGTCTGGAAGCTCTTTAACTCATCCAGTGTGACTCTTTCCCCAGTACTTGCCAACCTAGTTCTGAATCAGGGCAAAACAGATAATTTGTCATTTAGAAAATCATGAAAACCAGCTTTAGGATCACACTTCTTATATTTATTTATTTTTTAATCCTGAAAGCAGCTGTGCTGTTTGAAGGGTTGGCACTTCCCCTGAAAACATGCCAGATGGATTTCCAGAGCTGGCTTGCCTTCCCAGTGGGGTTATTGCTGTGCTGTGCTCTTCAGACATCTGCTGGTCAGCATCCCACATCTCACAACTGCACCAGTGATGCTCAAAGAATATACTTCAGCCACTCCTGTAAGATTGACCTACCCACGTCCTCCCAGATTAAGGTGGAAGCAGATCCATTACAGCATAATGAAGACAGCAGTGGGGTGCAGCTGGGTCCTGGAGAGCCTATTATTGTATCCTGTTTTTGTGTGTCTCAGATCATGAAATGACATATTTTGTTATGTATTACTGTGGTAACTGGAATGTCTGAGCATTTAGAAGTTGCTGTCAACAGTATAATTAATGCCTTGCAGTTCCTTCTGAAGGAGAAATAGAGGACCTGTTGAATAGCAGAGAGGAAGATACAATCCTCTTCCCAACTATGCTTAGACAAGGAATAAACCACACCATGTGTATTTAGGTTCTTTATTATTTTCCTGCAAAGCTGGATTATTCAAATCCAGCTTCTATATCAGAAGAAGAGACAGGATGAACAGTCTCAAATTTTTCAATAAAAGCACATAGTGAGGGAGTGTTTGGTGAAAGCTGTGAATGACACGTGGGAATGAATGCTGCCTTTCAAGTGAGAAGAATCTCCTGATGTTATCTGACCTCGTGTTGCTGACACATGCCTTTTTACAGGCGCTTACTATCTATTTTTCACTATCACTTAGTGCCTTGCTAATGAAATACAGCTGTAGATGGTTTGATCAGCTTAGATGTGCTCACTTGTCATTAAAATCAGGTAAACTTGAGGGTGAACAGATGCTCTACTTTGACTGCTTTCAAGGGCTGCTTCAAGACACTGATGAGCTGTCTGTCTTGTGGCAAAACAGTCAAGGCACTGTTGGTGTTCTGAAATATATTGTAGGCAGCAGGTCTGCCCAGGTCTCCTCCAGGCACCAAGTATAAGCTTCCATCAGGACTCAGTCAGAAAAGTTCAGTTTTCTGCCTCTGCCATGGAGAAGCTGTGTTCCCCAGTTTTGGGGACCGGCTGACATTTTGAAATGGCTGACAGTGATAGGAAAAGAGGGTTTTGGCTTGTCTTTCTCTTCCTAAATGCATTGGAAGGGACAGCTTTATGAGAGAGTTTTTCTTGTGTCAGTGTGGGTTTAGAAGCTGTAAAGAGTCGCCCACAAAATTATTGTATTTGTTCCTGCAGTATTCATTTGTATTTAATGGTGTGCTGTTGAGCAGCAAGTTCTCCTAATCTCTTCCCAGCACTGAATGAGCCTGATCCTGCTGAGCTTAGGAGGTTGTGTGGAAAGACTGTATTTGAAGCAGTCTCTCAAGAACTGAAGTGTCATTTGGTTAGCAGCTGTTAATATGTTATGCTGTCTGCTTGCACTTGGCAAAACCAGTGAAGAGTTTGGTGATTTTGACATTTTTCTTGTTTCTAGCACAACAGGTGGGAGCTGAGAGCCAGAAAACTCCAGAGTTGGAATGTTACCATGGGTAAAACTAAGCCTGGTGAAATAGTGATTGTGCTGTACTTGCTTAAGTCTTCAGTGTGGCTGAGGAAAATGTCTCAGGTCTCAGAAAGCAGACTGGGCAGGGAGGAGGACTTCCTATCTTATATTTACCTTTTTACTATTTGCCTGATGCTGCTTCCTTGTGGCTTTCTGCTGTTCTTCCCAGTCCTGTCTGCACTCAATGCCATCTGGGTGACGGAGGAGATGGAGCACTCACTGGAAGTGGAGTGGGAGAACCCACCAACAGATGTGGATTATTACAAGCTAAAATTCAGATCCCTAGTGGAGATGGATGAGAAGCAGGTCATGGTGCCCAAAAGCAATGACCCTAAGAGTAGATACATCCTGACTGGTGTGGGTATTCCAAACTGGTCAGGGGCAGGGAAAAGTGACAGGAATGACTGACAGTCAGACCACAGTCCTGAGACAATTCTTCTCTCATGTGTGAATGGCCAGTTTTCCTTCACCTTGTGTGAAGGTGAGATGACACCCATAAGGATGGATGTCTCCACAGGGAGAAAGCTATGCTCTGTGGATAGCAAGTTTCAAGGCATATTCATTCATTCATTTAATTCTGTCTTTGCCAGGAATTAAGTGTATTTTTCTATTTCAGAATTGGTAACACTTATATTATTGGAAATCCCCACTAGCTGTAGCCTATATACCCTAAGGGCAAGCCTAGATCCATCAAGACATTCAAAAGACAAAAGGAAGTTGGATAGAAATCTAAACTCCAAGTTTCTCTCTCCTATAAATCCTAGAACTCGATAGACTAAAAAACCCAGCTTTCTTCAAGAAGAAATACTGCCTTTCCTGATTGCTGTTAATGCTCCTTTTTGCTGTTTGTAGGCCTGAAGCCTGGCACAGAGTACGAGGTCACTGTCATACCTGTGAAAGACAACACAGAAGGGACACCATCCTCGGTGACTGTGGGGACTGGTACGTGAAAAGTTGTTTTTGCTACAGAGTTTGGGGACAGATCTGTCAAGATTCCAGCACAAAAGGTGCACAGTTGGCTGCTTCTTCATGCATCACCTGCAGCCAGGTCTGCTGATACCTTCTTTGAGCTTGCCTACACTGTATATTGGGCACTAAACCTAGGTTGAGCTCAATCTTTTGCCTTGGTTTTTAAACCCACAGTAGCTTCACCCTTAATTTGACTAACAGCTCCATCCAGGCACAGCATAAGTGTAATAAGTTGGCCTCTCTGTGTAGTAACAACCCTCTTGGATCATTGACTCTTTAGAAAAAAAGGCAGAATATTTTTGAGCTATTCTGTTCCAAAATAGAGCTTGAAGAATTTTGAGCTCCTATTCTACCTATAAGATTCTGGAATCTCTGAAATTCAGCTCTTACAAAAGGGTAGGTGTGCTGCTTCCAAAGACTGAAAAATCCCTTATCAGGCTTGACATTCTGAGGTTGTTTTGTAGATTAGTCCATTAAAAGAAAATTAATTTTAAACAACAGAACCTACAACCTCCACAATGCCATTGTGAGGTTGCTCCGTGTAGGTTCTGATTACTTGGAACACCCTTGACTTGTGTTTTCAAGCTGTTCCTGACAGACATAGGGGCTGCAAAACTTCTTTAAAAAGAAAAAAAAAAACCCACAATGAATAATCCTGCTCATGTTCTTATGTAACCCCTGGAGTCTAAGAACTGCAACTAAGACAAATACCAGCTTCTTCAAGAGCTACACTGAACTCTGATTCACCACCTAAAATAGCAAAGCCTTAGGGGAGTCAGACAGGTCTGCAGGGTGGGCAGAAAGGGAGGAGCAGCAGACGGCTGACAGTGGAGCAGGGGAAGGGTGAGCCCTGTGCTTGGAGCTGGGAGAGGGTAAGCTGGAAGGACATCCTCAAGTTGGTTCCTATGGAAGGTGAGACAAGTAGCCTGCGAGCTCGTCTTGCAGTAAAAATGGAAAGTTTCATCTAAATGGTAGAACAGACCTGCTTTCTCCCCACCCTGGTTTCTCATGGATACCTTTCTTGAGGGGATGTAGTGGGAAACCCAGGTGACTGGTTTAGGTGGCCACAGCAGCAAGGCAAAAATGAAGGAAATGTGTACATGGAATGGTTTGAGTTGGAAGGCACCTTAAAGCTCATCTCATCCCACTCCCTGCCACAGGCAGGGACACCTTCCACTAGCCCAGGTTGCTCCAAGCCCCGTCCAGCCTGGCCTTGGACACTTCCAGGGATGGGGCAGCCACAGCTTCTCTGGGCAACCTGTGCAGGGCGTCACCACCCTCTGGGTAAAGAATTTCTTCCATAACATGCCATGACAGGTATTGTAGTGGTTTAATTAATCTGGAGATTCCTGATCCTGCACTTTGAAATGCTCTCTCAGGAGTTGATGACCCAACCAATGTGACAACCGACCAAGTGAGAGAGGATACTGCCACTGTCACGTGGAATAAAGTGGAGGCTCCTATAGACAGGTACATGGTGAGATACACCTCAGCTGATGGGGACACCAAGGACATAGAGGTGGGGGGAGTGACAACAACATGATCACCTTACTGGATCTGAAGCCAGGCATGGAATATGTCATCCACATCTGGGCACAGAAGGGACCCCAGAGGAGCAAGAAGGCAAGCACCAGGACTGTGACAGGTGAGCTGTAGAAGCACCAGAGGGAGCTGAGTTTGAAACTCAAACTCCATCATTTTTACTTGTTTTAGGAAAGCTTCTCCTGCTCTGGACATGTTTTTAGTGAAGCAAAAAATTCATGTAATTCTTACTAGTGAGGCTGAACAAGTCTCCAGCTCAGATTAAGACTCTGAGTCCTGTTGTGGACAGACCTTATGGCAAGGGACCGGTTACTGTCAGTACAGAGAACAGTGAAATCCAGCCAAAACTAAAACCTCATAACCAATTGGAATGTGTAGTTCATGCCTTGCCTTTAAAATGCCATAAATCATTTCCAAGCTTTTCTTTGGGTGACTGTTGTGGCCTTTCCCAACAGAGCAGGGGGCTCACACATTTTGCACGTATAATCAGAGTGTTCGCTAAAATGGAAAACCAGATTTATTTGGATCATGGCATAAATTAAGAGTTGTGGAGGGTATCAAATCTCCCAAAGAGGGGATTTGGTCGCTGTCCTTTGATGACAGGGAGTCTCCATTGGAAGGGTGCTTGCAGCAGCATCTGCAGCTGGGTTGGGAAACTCCCTGAACCTCTGTCTTGATGAATTTGTACAATCCAGCCAGCTGTGTGTGGCTGTGTGTACAAGAGCAGGTTCCACTGGCTGTTTACCAACATCTTCTCTATGTACAATCTGCACTTCTACACCAAAATTACCTAGGGAAGTGCTTGGGATGCTCCACTCAGGATGTTAACTAACACATTTAAACATATAAATTGGACTAGACACAACAGGAGCTGCCTCAGGGAATTTGTAGGACTGTTTGAAGTTCCAATATGAGGGGATCAGTCAATCCCCTACTTCAGCCAGTCCATGTTCTCACTGGTATGGGTGACTGGCTGGGAAGCTCCTGGACCACCAGGGAGTTAAGGAGTTAAAAGCACTGCACATGAGGAGCAGCACAGCCCATACCCAGCTGCAGTGCAATTAGAACTAAAGAACAAACTTGATTTTCATATCACACAAGAAAATCATTTGCATAATTTTTTCTTGCCACAGGTGAGCATCTCATACTGCTAAGGAGCTGAGCTGTGGTTATTCAAATTCCCAGCTCCCACCTTGTGCCACTCTGGGGTGGCACAAACAAGCCTCAGTGTCTTTCATTAAAATGAAAAGTAATGTGTTTTTGTCTCACAGAAGAGGTGAGATTAGTACACACAGGTGGAAAATCACAACTTTTACCATAGCTAATGTGTGGTAAATCACAGTGCAGCTAAGCTGGTGTGTGGTAAATTACAGTGTGGCTGTCAGATGGTTGTGCATTTGTGCCCTGGAGTTTAGAGCCTCCAGCAGAATAAGAAATGCTGCTCCAATAATTTGAGAGGCACTGACATGCAGATGTGGTTACCAGTGTGCCAGGAATGGCAGGACATGGAAGCAGTTAGCATCCCTTGTTTTATCTTCCGTGCACTGTATCCAGCAGAACAAAATGATTTGGCTCCATGAATGGTGATATCCAATGGTGACTTGCTTAATTACTGGTTATTTACAGTGCATGGTCAAAACACAGTTTATAGCTAAAGATAAAACTGTAAGATTTACCAGTTTGGGCTGGAGAAAAAAACCAAGCAAGCTTTTGGATACACAGGCCCTTTTTAGGTCTTTAGACATAGAATCACTTCTCAGAGCTCATCTGTTTTTCCAAATGTATTTGATAGTCTAATAAAACACACTACCTCTGTCTATAAAACCTGTGTTTTCTGTGTCTTTGGGCCACTGTGATTACCACAGCACTATACTAAAACTTCTAATAATTGTGACTTTTGCTTGCAGAAATCGACAACCCAACTGAACTGTTGTCTGACCAAGTGACAGAGGATGCAATTACTGTTTCCTGGAACAAAGTCCAGGCTTCAATAGACAGATACAGACTGAGCTACACCTCAGCTAATGGGGACACAGAGGAGAGAGAGGTGGAGAAAGACAAGAACGTCACTACCTTGGCAGGACTGGAGCCAGGCACAGAGTACATCATTTACATCTGGGCAGAGAAGGGAGAACAGCAGAGCAAGAGGGTCAGCACTGAGGCTGTGACAGGTAAGTGGACAGTAGGTTTTGTTGAGTGTAAGCTCAGAGATCAGAGATCAGATGCCATTAGGCTTAGTCCATCCTGGACATGTAGTTTACCACCACGCTGTGATCTCCTCTCTGCTTTTTCATGACCTCTGAGCTTTGATCTTCTCTCTCCCAAAACAGGGAGCACAAGCATATCTGTGAAAGAGCTTCCAGGTCTCTCCAAACACCTCTACACAGCAATTCTACTTCTCAAAACAGAGGATAAACAGCATCAGGCATAATATATGGGGTTTCCCACACTATTACTCTGCAGGCCTTGGCATTCCCAGCTGCAAGGTCACTTGAGTGAATATACCATCTTGCTCACTGTTCTTCTGCTTTTAACCCATCCCTCCCAGCAGAAGGACCCTGCTCTCTTGGTATTTTGTTTCATGAGCTCTCTTTGCATTGCTGGGTGTTGAAGATGCACGGTTGTAACCCCACTTAAATTATTAAATGTAATAATTTAAATACCTGCCTATAGGCTCCTATAACAGACACTAATGCTATAGATGATTCTAGAAGAGGCAGATGATGTAATACAAGAGTGATGACAGCTGATGGTCCTTATTTCACTAGTCCTCCATCAAAAGCATGCAGTGCTTCATGTGCTGCTACCAAGCCCAACAATAACAGAAGTTTAATAACCAAAGTGAAACCATTTTAGAATCAGAGACAGTTAAAAATAATGGCCTGCCCTTTGACTCATGACCTTAGGCTGGTCCTAGGAGGCTGCCAAGCAGGCTTAAATCTGTCCTGTTCAGTCAGCCAGAAGGATTGTGATAAACTGGGAACATTCAGGGTCACTCCATATCCATTGACCTTGTTAATGTACTTATTTTTAGTTTATGAATCCAGCTGGTCCAAGATAGATGGGTTGAATCTTGGATTTAGGGCAAGATGCCAAAGAGTTCCCCAGTGCTTACAGAGGTTGAGGGCAGCTGATGGGGACAAATGGAGATCTCTTGAGGTCAAAAGGCCAAACCTATCTGGAACTAGAAATGCAAGGAGTGTTTCAGCAATTTCAAATGGATTTTTTTTTAACTGGCACGAAAACAGAGGCACCTGGAAATTTCTCATGAAGTGAAACTGTTGGGAGAGGGAATGCATTTAGCACTAGTAGGGATATTTTTGAAGTATTTTCAGAAAAAATTACACCTCTGTTAAAATAATGCAACTTCTGAGGAAAAAAGAATACATTTTCTCACTCAAGGTGCTGGCTTATTATTCCCAAGCATTAAAACCGGCTGTGGCAAGGAGCTGCTCTGCAGGGACCTCCTGCTCCCGTGGGAGCTGCCGGCTGGCCTTTAAGGGCAGCGCTGTGAGACTACAGCCTCTGAGGCTGCCTTTCCCATCCCTGGCTTCTCGGGATGGAATTCGTTCCTTTTAGCTCCCTCTCCTGTCCAGCGGGAGGTACACAGGTAGTGAGCTGCTCTGAGAAGGTTTCTGGGCTGTTTTACTTAAAGCAATTGTTTAGTGCTCTCCCAAATGAAGTCCGAGTTCGTCAGGTAATGGACTAATGCTTAACTTCTGAGCCGAGTGAAAGGTGGTCTCAGGTTGTAATGAATAGCCAGCGTTATAAACAACATGGTGTGTGAAATACAGTGTTACTGTCCCTGTTCCTATACTTGGTGTTTTGATTTCTTCTTCTCTGCCTTTTTTATCTGCTTTAAGCAGCAACCTTATGCATGAGGAGAGCAGCATTTCCTGGGAGGAGCCACCCTGCTCCACTCTTCTCATTTAAGTAAGGCAGACAAAAGTTGGCCTTGGCTTTCTCCATGACCTTTTCACAACGGTATTATTTCACTGATGCATTATAATTGTTGATGTGTTTATGCTTGCAGCACTCTTCAAGGCCTGGGAGGCTTTATTGCCTGGTTTATACAGAGAAGAACTGAATTGACAAAAACATGACCGTAGTCCTCCAGGGAGGCTTGTGGAAGAGCAGGGAATTGAAATTAATTATTCTATTATAGTTTAAAATAAACTCAGGTGTAGTTCAGTGTTGGAGCACCCATCCCTGGAGGCCAGCAGTGCCCACCAGGGACCTTCGCTCTAAAACTTCCAAAGTCACACAAGCTCTTGCTTCCCATGGAGTGCCCAGGCTGACTGACCAAGTGCACCTGAAACCAAAAGGTTACAGGCTTTATTTCCTGGGAGAAAAGGCTGTTGTTGGCTTTTCAGAGCCCTGTGCTTAAACTGCCAGTCCAACTCCCAAAATTGAATACAAAGGAAGATTCCTCCCAGGGAAAAGGTGCCAGCACAGAAAGCTCTGGCTGCCCACGGAGTGCCCAGGCTGCCCCACCAACTGCACCTGAAAGCCAAAGCTTTCTGTCCTGGGGTAAAGGGCTGCTCTACCCTTGATTCAGCCTTGCGCTGCATTTGCCGGGACCCCCCTCCCCAAAACCGATAGAAATGAAGATTCCTCCTAGGGAAAAGGGGCCAGCACAGAAAGCTGTTGCTACCTGTGGAGTGTCCAGGCTGGCCCACCAACTGCACCAGAGAGCCAAAGGTTGCAGTCTTTCTTTCCTAGGGAAAAAGTGTTGTTGGTTGCTTACAAGAGCCCTGCGCTCCAACTGCCAGTCCGACTCCCAGACTGAACACACAGGAAGTACATTTTGAGAAGTAGGGACAGGTACTTCCATTGTTGTTGCTTTAAACTGAGATTTAAAAATTGCATTTATCCTCAGGGAAGCACTGCAGCCCTGTTGTGGTATGTTGGCAGAAGCTTTTTTACAGCTGCTGTGAACTGGTGTTGCATTAAAATAATTCTGTTTTTCTCCTCATGCTGACCTTGGGCAATCTAAATGCTCAGGAAAAGTCTGTCTAAGCCTTTGTTTCTGGTGAAGGAGCTGGTGTCCCATATCCAGCATATACTGAACTGTAAAGCTCTGGGTTTCTTTATGTTCCTGCATTCACTAAGGAAAACTGAAGCCCGACAACGCTCTGAAGTCATTCTTCATCTGAAGCAGGGGAACAAGGGGAAAGGGCTCTCAGCAGGCCACACTTGGGCTGTGCTCCAGGACTGAGACATAGAGCCAAAACCTGTTTTATCTGAGTGCTCCTCAGAGATGAGCTTGAGACATGCCAGGAACTCCTGGACACTGTACAGCTGAGCCAATTGCAGGGCTCACAGAACATCCTAAACCAGATCTGAGGTAGGCCTGGCTGTGTTTGGTCTAGACTTCTGCTGCTTGCTAGATATGAAGGCTACTGGGTGACTTTCAGGCATTGAAACTCAGCCCAAGCCCTGCACTGCAGTTGCTGTCTCTCGTTTATGCCATGGGACTTGACTTTTCTTTTTCAGTAGGGATTGATCCTCCCAAGAACCTCCATGTGTCAGAGGTGACTCATTCTACTGGTGTGGTTACCTGGGCTCCTCCTGCAGCACAGATTGATGGCTACTCCCTGACCTACCAGGGTCCGGATGGCACGAGTGAGGTACAGTGAATTCCTTGAATTTTTCAGTCCTGCAGACCTCACTGAAATCACCCCTGTGATTATGGGTGCTGCCAGTTGGATCTTGTGGGTATGTGGACCACAGGAAAACAATTTTGAGCAGAAATCTATGCTATCTATGACCCAGGGAGGGAGAATTTAAGGAAGGAGATGTTCTGTTGTCATGAGTAGAAGCTGTGGAAGGACTTTGTGACAGTGTAATGCCTCTTCCCAACAGATCCAGCTGCAGAAAACAGGGTTACCTCTTCACTTCTCTACCTGGAAGGACAGCACTCATTAAGGACAGAGTGTTCTACAAGTTTTTCTTGAGACCTAGCCCTAAATCTTCCTTCTGAGAAGATAGATTCCATGTTTGAAGGATGGGCAGTTTGAACCCTTCAAGAAAAGCCTGTAAATTCATATGGGGTATGAGGCACTGTGGTCCAGGAAAGCTAAATGCTGTCCAGAGCTGGGTTGACCTTTGATCCATGTTACTTGGCAGGAAGCACAGCTGGGTCCCAGTGAACAACAGTTTGTGTTGGAAGGCCTGGAACAAGGAGTGAGGTACGCTGTCTTTGTGAAGGCCCACGAGGGAGGTCACCAGAGCAGAAGGACAGTCAGTACCTTCTCAGCAGGTAGGAATTGGCCTTGCATGTTACATTTTCCCTGTGCTCTGCAGCTGCTGTGTTTTGTGGTAGAGATTACAGATGGAGTTCATGTCCTACAGATGGACTAGGAAACTGTGATCATAAGCAAACCGTAGGGCAAATCAGTGCTGTGCCTCCTGGCTGGGTGTCCTTTCTGAGCCCCACCATCTGGAGGCTTGGAAGCACAGAGGGACAGTGTGAGTGGAGATTGTCTCTCACTTGGCTACCAGGGCTTGCCAGCAGCGCTGACCAGCGTGGGCAAAGGCTGCTGGTGAGCTGCCAGAGGGCAGGAGAGAGGATGATAAGCAGGAGATCTTTCTGCACATCCCAGTTATGGCGGGGCACAGCAGTGTAAGTACCCTCAGGACGGTGGGTAGCTGCCCAGGTTGTTCAGAGGTCAGGAAATACAAGAGTGGCAGCAAATCAAACAAATCTCATGCCAGCCTGCTTTGAGAGACTCTCATACTGTGCCAGTGCCCACAGAGGCTGCCAATTGTGGATTAATTGTGAAATGAAGAGAAAGTAAAGTCCTTATTTTCTGCCACTCTCACCTTTACAAACAAGGGGCTCCTCTTCCCACTCTCACTGTGAGCCAAGGCTGGGTTGTTTTGTATGGGCAGATAGTGACAGGACAAGGGGAAATGGTTTTAAACTGACAAGAGAGCAGGTTTAGATTAGGTGTTAGGAAGAAATTCTTCTCTATGAGGGTGATGAGGCACTGGCAAAGATGACCCAGAGAAGCTGTGGTTGCCCTGTCCCTGGAAGTGTTCAAGGCCAGGTTGGATGGAGCCTTGAGGAACCTAATCTAGTGAGTGGCACCCCTGCCATGACAGGGGGATTGGAACTAGGTGGCCTTTGGGTTGGAAGGGACCTTAAACTGTTCTGGAATTCTTTGGTTCTATCTCTTGCAGCCCCTGGGGACCCCATCCATGTGCCAGCTCCCAGGCAATGCAGAAAGCTGCCAGCAGCAACCTCCTGGTGCAGCTGTGCACTGTGTGAGGCCATAGAGGGACCTGCTGCTTTCTGCACTTCTCTTCCAGTGCCTTTGTCCACAGGAGCTTCCCGAGGGGGTGAGATGCCTCCTCCAGCTCCATGGCCTGCTCTGCTGATGAGTTTTGCCCCCTCTCTTCTCCCAGTGAGCCTCCTGTACCCGTATCCCATGGACTGCAGCCAGGTGCAGCAGAATGGAAATGGCTCCAGCGGCGTGTACACCATTGACCTGACTGGGGATGGCAGCAGGCCACTGCAGGTGTACTGTGACACAGCCACTGATGGAGGAAGGTGGCTCCTCTTCCTGCTTTTTGATGAATGTAATAGAGAGCACCTGACACTGTTGTCAGCTGAGGCTCCTTTTGCTCTGCTGCACTCCTGTGTCACAGCTCCTGCCTGGATGCAGTGCCATGTTTTAGGGAGGGTGGTGAATACTGATGCACCCACATCAGCAGCATTAAACCAGAATTTTTCACTCTTGTTTCCCTGGAAGGACACACAATAGAAAATGATGCTTGACCTCTTATCTGCCTTCTCCAGTAAGATCTTGTGGCTGCAGAAATGATAAGAGGTGCCTCCTGACAAGCTCCTACATACTTGGTCTCAGAGTCTTAATATGGACAGAACAGGGGTCTAAGTCAAAGGCACAGATTTAAAGGCTCAGGCAAAAGCCCAGAGGCCTAAGCTTTTCTTTTCACACAGCAAGAAGTTATACCCTAAGTCTCACAGTGGAAGAAGGAGTCATCCCAGAAGGGTTATGGGTATGGACAGTTAATGCAGTTCAGCTGATGCCTGTTAGTATTTAACTGCTAGTGCTGTGAGCACACACCTGCACCTGGCCACACAGGAGGTCTGAGTGGCTAGAAGGAATCTGGAGGCAGAGGTACAAAAATATCTTTATTACCTTTTTCACCTTTCATTTTCAGTGATAAGTGATTTTCTTTACTGAACTAAATTGCTGTGTGTTACTGCCCAAGCCCCTCTAACTTTGGTGGAAGTTTAGAAACCTGGACCTTCTCTCTAAGCCTGTTTTGTCCAAGTGTTTAGATCATGCTCAGATTTGTGGAAAGTAAGCTGTAAAATTTGCACAACTAAGTATTGACCCCAGTGCTTATGTGCAACCAGAAAATGGAAATGGATTCCTGAGTGTGCTCAGATGTAGTGTACCATCACAAGGTTGGATTTGATGATATTGGAGGTCTTTTCCAACTTTAATGATTCCATGGTCAACTAGAGTCGTCTGTTCCTGAGTGCTTCACCTTTTTGTCTGCGTTTGAGTTGGGGTGAGGATTTCTCACTTCCATCCTCCTTGTTTTTCCTCATTCCCTCATAAGCTCACTCCACAATCCTTGCTTTGCAGGTGTTTCAGAAGCGGAGCTCTGGTGAGTTGGATTTCTAGTAATGCTGGAAAAATTATATGGAAGGCTTTGGAGATCCCACTGAGGAATTTTGGCCTGGTACAGTACATGGGTGTAACCAGTGAAGAGCTGAAGATTGGCTTTGTAGAAGCACCTAAATGTTGGAATATCCAACCCTCTGATCCTGAAGTCTTGAACTGCCAGCTTCTGTGTCTTCCCTAGCAATGCCAATGAAGCACTGAGGGATCTTTAAAGGCCCACTAAGTATTTCCACTGACATTTTTGGGCTTTGGAGCAGTCCCAGAGCAAGCCAAACTCTGTAAAGGTTTATTTCAGGCTTGTGTGTTCTTATGAGGGGGGGAAATAAAGAAATTTTATTTGTGAGAATGCAAAGACCAGGAGACTCCACACAACTTTGTGTTCTCAGTTAGTTTTTGTCTGTCTTGTTCTGTTAGTGAACAATGTGTGAATCAGAGAATCCAGCACTAAATAGGGTAAGGTTTTTGGAGCAAGAGTCTTTAAATGTCCTGGGAAAAATAATGTTGCAGTACAGCTAGCCTTGTGCTGTTAAGGCTGTTTGTTTTTTCTGATTCTGCTGTCCCTTGCCAGAAACTGAGATAAGACAGAGTAAACTTGGCAAAATGTCATGACAACATCAAGCAGGGAAGGAGGGGGGCAGGAAATAGCTGATTTAACCCAAATGGCCGTGGGGTGAGAGTCTAGGACTGCAAAGGTGAACCCTTATAAGAGTAATTGTTTTTTATTTCTAGGTCTTGACAGGCTGCACAACCTCACGAGCAGCAGCCCCGTCCGCTACGAGCTCCATGTGGATTTGCAGACAGCCAGCAAATCCCTCTATGCTGTCTATGACTCCTTCCAGGTTGCCTCAAGCAGGGAGAGATACAGGCTGTCAGTGGGGAATTACAGAGGCAGTGCTGGTGAGGAGGGCCTTGTGCTGTGCTTCTGCTGTGCTCAGCCCAGGGAAGCAAATGCTGGGATCTGTGTATTTGTTTTGTCGGTAGCATGGGACCTCCTTCCTCAGGTCAGGTTAGATCAGATGTGGTTCTCTCTGAGGAGAAAAGTGTGTACTTCCCAGCAAGACTGAGGAGAGTGTACCCATAGGCTTGTCTCATATTGAAGGCAGGAGAAAGAGTTGTTTTTTTTATGGGGAAGAGAGCGCTCTGTAACCCAGGGAAATGCCAGCTGAAAAGGCAAACTGGGAGGAGTTTCCATGAGGTAACCACTGCTGATGGGGCAGCAACCTCTGGGGCTCCCCAGCTAAGAGTGGAAAAAAAGTGGCTTTTATTCAGGATGGGAGTTTGCTCAACAGCACTGCTGGCTTCTGCCACTGGTAAATCCTTACCACTGCCATTGTGTCCATAGGCTTCCATTCATCCTTTAATATCCTCTTGCTATAAGGTTTAGCTCTTCAGCTGGGAGGATCCAGCCCTTGGACATGCCCTCTAATAGCAGTGCTTTAGAAACTAGTGTGCAGACCTCTCATTTGAGAGGGAAAAGATCCGCAAGAAAACTTACAGCTCTTATTCCGTCCTCCCTGGATCCAGAGGACTTGAGCTCATGGCTCCCTGGTTCTTGTGGGCAGAGATACTTGAGGTGGAGCTGTCTTGAGGGGAACACCTAAAGGAACACTCACCAGGAGCCTCACTAGGATGCTGGCTCACTGTCCTTGGCTTTCAGTGCATGCCTCGGAGTGTATCTTGCTGTACAGGCTTATTCTGGGCTTGAAGTTGGCTCCAGTCCTGTTGTGTTCCAAACTGGATAGAAGTTTGATTTATATTAGGAGTGTCTGAAAGACTGATTATAATTAGAGTCTTTATGTATTGTAGGGTTAAATGGTATTTAGAGGGGGGCAATAGCAGACTCCTAGCACCTGGTCTGGGCACTTCAGTAAAACAAATTCCTTGGTCTGTTCCCAGGGTGTGAACTGGGAGCCATGGAAAGGCCATGAATTCTCCATTCCTTTTACGGAGATGAAGATCTGTCCTCAGTCATCCAGTAAGGAGGCAGTCCTGGGGAGGAAGAAGAGGTCTTTGTTAAGAAATATTCAATTGTTATCTTTGTCAGGGAAGAGGGAGAAGATCAAGGCTTAAATTGAACCCTGTGCAGGACAGTACCCAAAGTTCACTTCAGACAGCTTTCTCCAGCACACTGGGGACAACTGCTGACCAATGTGCACCCAGGGACATCTGGACCTGCAGCACATCCTGCTTCCAGCCTTTGGAGCTCCTGATGGGTGATCTCCCAGAGGCTGGGAGGGGGTTTTGGGGGAACATCCTGCTTGTAGATGGCCTGTTGGCTAAACATGACAAGGACCTGCTTGATCCAATATTTGCAACTTTGATGAACTTTACGTAAAACAAGCTTTAACACATGCTGTTCCTTCTAAAACCCAGGCTGCAGACTCCTCTTCCTTCTGTCCTTCTCTGGTGCCATCCACTTCAAACTTAGAAAAATTAAATTTGAACCTACTAACAAATAATAGCCCCCTAATTTACATTGGAGAGAGCTTTCCTGAGACTACTCCCTCTCCCTGTCTTGGTCTGTTGTTCCCCTTGTTATTTGGGAACATTCTCTACTCTTCCTGCAGAGCTGGGTTTTGGGAAATGTTGCCAGGCTGCTGGCAAGACTCATTAACCCAGATGAGTTCTGTAGACTGGGTTCCTCAACCTCCAGTATTGCATCTCTCCAGGTTAAAATCCTGCTATTTTGCTTGTATCTTCTTGTCTCTTGTGGCCCAAACTAAAACCTGAGCAGCTGTGCAGTAAGTTGATGTTCACACTCCAGGGTGAGGCCCAGAACAGGGTGAGTGTAAAGGCTACTCTCTTCCATGCTCTGCTCACCATCCCAAACCTGCCTCTCCATTCTGCTTGCCTAAGGGGCTGCTTACAGACCATAAACAAAATTCTCTGTGTGACTGTTCCATCTGCTGCCTTCTGCTTTTTCATTAGCAGCGTGGCAGGTAGTGATGCTGAAATGATAACGCTTGTCATCCACCTCTAAAAGGAGCACCTCTTGGACCTAAACTGATCCTGCACGCTTTCCCTCAAGCCCCAGTGCATGCTTTCACATTTGGCTGCTTTTTTATTTTAACTCAGTCGTAAAGGTGAGCTCTATTTTCTTTCCCTGAGCAGACATTAAAATTCTGGACCACCAGCTCCAGCCAGGGAAGAAGTATGAACTCACCAAATGCTGCTTGCTCAAAGGCTTCCTTGTCTGAACACATTGGAACATGGTTGTCCTATGTCTTAATGACCTTTTCTATCCCAGCGCTAAGCTGAATAATTAGTTTTAAAGAATCCTTCCCAGACTCTGGAGGAAATAATAAAATTGCAAATAAAGGAGGTCTTAGAATATTTCTGCCTTCTTTGCTTTGGGTGGCAGAATTATTTTTCTTCCCATTTAAACGAAGCATTTTGTATGGAGAGAGAGCATTACCCAGTCCCAGAGTGGGGCTGTGCAAATGAGGTCTTTGGGGTCTGCTCCAAAACAGGGATGGGCACTGTGTGATCTCTTTGTGACCTCACTCTGTGAAGCACTTAAATGATCTGTGCTTGCTGGGACCTGGCTGAGGAGAGTGAGCTAGAGAGTTGTCTCCCACAGGTGAGAACTAAGTTCTTCACAGAACTTTCAGGGCTGTGGCTCTTGTGGGTGGGCAGGCAGAGACTCATCTGAGCTGTGTTAGGATATCCAAGCCCTGGGCTGGAGGGAAGGAGGAGACTAATGGTGAGAGGAGAGGAAAGGAAAATTGCACTTGAAGTGCTTTGCAGGCTCTGTGCTAAGAGCATGAGAGAAGGACACAGGAAGGTGATGAGGGCTCTTTACTGTGAAGTGCTTTCTCCCTGTTGCCCACTTGTCTGTAGGCAAGGACAGGTTTCAGTCTGTTCAGTTAAAGGGCTCAGTGAAGTCATCAGGAATGAGACTGAGAGGGAGAGGAGGACTAATCTCACACGCAGGCCCTCTAAAAGTAAGTCTATGCTCTAAAAAAACCATAGGTGTGATTTTTTCCAGAAGCTCTTTCTTGTGCAGGGACAAAATATAATCCTCTCCTAGAGCTGAATCCCAGCTGGAAGAAGGGGATATTCTCTTAAGAGATACGAGCTTTGTATTTCAGAACTAAAGGCAAATGAGACACTTTATTTGCAATTTCTGAGAAGGGTTTACTTGTTGCTCCTGATTATGCGCCCTTCTTCCACCAGGAAGGGCAGTCAAAGGGGCGGCTGCTGGAAAGATATTGTGGGAAGTCAGTACTCCCGAACAGCCACAGGATGGCACCGTCTCTTCACGCTAGTGCAGGAAAAGCTTCCCCGTATCCAGCTGGCGTCTTCGGAAAGACCTTTTTGGGGTTAACGAGTCTGTGTTACAGCCTGAGAGGCTGGGACTGCTCAGATAATGCGGCTTGTTTGCCTTAAGGAACTGGCTGTTCTGGTTTTGAGGCTCAGGCTGGTGGTAGTCGATGGGTAGTTCCATAAAAATGTCACATACTCTTACTACCCTTGTTTTGCTGCAATAACCGGCCCGGTGACAGTAATGCTGGAGGGCCAAAATGTTCTCGAAACCTCTGCCTTGCTCTGAGATCACTTAAATTTTATATACTGGTTTGCAACACTCCCAGAGGCAGAAATTTGAATCCCAGAAGGATCCTCTCTGCTTTGGCGTCACTGTGTTAATGAGGATTGTCCTGTTGCTGGGTCCTACCAGCCAGGACCCGTGTGTTAAGACATATCTGGGACCCCAGAGAAATGCTGCAGGATTTACCCAGGAGGAGGAGGGAGAGGATGCCTCTTCCCCTGTGGTGTGATTTGGAAAGAAGACTCAAGTGTCTTACTGCACTGGGCACTTGGGAAGCATTGGTGTTACTTTTGGTTGCTGCTCTATGCTTTGTTGGCTGAATAAACAGTGGAACAGCCAGTTCCACTTTTCCAGCCAATTCTTTCCTCAGAGAGGGATTTAATGGGCCTCTATGTGGAGGTGACTTTTGCTTCCCCTCAATCTCTGGAGTGCTCCAGGATGCTCAACCTCACCTCAATCCTGTATATTTCTAACCTAGGATGCAGAGTCTGTCTTTTCCCTCTGCAGCCCAGGCTACCCAAGAACACCTGGCCCTGAATCCCACGTCTGACATCTGGAGAGAAGCAAAGTGTGCACTGCTCCTTCCTCCCCCCAAAAGTGTGCCTTTGCCATTTCTAGCTGCTCCTTGCTGTGGTCCTGCATGCCTCTGACACCCAGCCTCAGCTCTGGAAGGTGCAGCTTGGTGCCTCATCCAGGTGAGAAGCAGGTTTTTAATTTCCACCCTCGTGAAGGCAGAGCTCAGTGGTGCAGGATTTGGAAAGGCTCTGCCCAGCAGAGCTGTGTGCCTGGTTCTGGGACTTGCCCAATACAGACAGCAAGCTGCAGACACTTTGTCTGATCAAAACCAACTGGGGTTAAGCAGCCCATGCTGCTGATCCTCTGCAAGATAAAAAAAAACCCTCTGCAGCCCACCTCCTGCACCACAAACACAGCTTTTCTTCTTCCCACTACTTTTCGCCCTTGAGTGGAGGAGCTTGGCTGTGCTCATTAACAAGGCAAGGCCACTCGATTAAGTTGAGCTGTTTCTTTAAGAAAACGTCTCTGAGCTGCACAGCTGGCTGCAGGCAGAGACTGCACAGCCTCTGCCTGCTGAGCTCTCTCTGGCTCTTATCTAGGGCCAGGACACAGATACAGGAAAGATCTCCCCACGAAAATAAACACGACCGAGAGATAGAGACACAGCGTTTGTTTGCAGTTTAAGAGCAATTTATTTTTAGTTAAAAAAAAAAAATTGCACAAAACTCGTTTTGTTGTTCCCCCCCTGTTGCACGGACTTGTTTAGGCAACTTGAAGGCTGATACTGAAATGCAGTTGTGGGAGGCAGGGTGGAGGTGTCTGGAGAGTGGGGGCTGTACAGCAGAGTTTGTCTACCGTGCACCTCTGGAGCAAGCCCCAGTGCTTTTTTTGGGTGGGGAGGCTTGGACCATCCACTGGTCAGGTGGATCAGGTCAAGGTTGTATCCTGGTCCCTCCCTGCCCAGCCTGGTGGTGGTTTGAGTGATGATTTTGGGGAGCTCTTGAAATTCAGACCTGGCTCTGAACTCCCCAAAGCCTGGATCTGGAGATGTGTGTGATGTAACACATTTTCTTGGCAGTTCTCTGGTTCTTGTAGGAATTGGTTGCCCTCGCCTGAAATGTTACCCGCTATCCCTTCTGGAGAAGGACCTTGCTGCAGGGAGCCCTGAAAAGCCCAGCACCTCCACACCAGGTAGGCTGTGCTCTGCCAGTGCTGGCTGCCTCCATGCCCCTGCTTGTTTGGGAAACTTCTGGCCACCCATGGTGTTTCCCTTTACTCTGATTTTTTTTTCAGTTCCTCCAGGCAGCACCACCCTGCCTCCAGGGCTGCTCGTGCCTCTGGATCGCAGCAGGAGCACCTGCATGGGCAGCATTCCTGCCCACAGGAGGAGGCTGCTTTGGCCACCCGCTGAGCACGGAGGCAGTACCTGGCTGGGGGAAAGGAGGGAAGGAAAACCAATATGAGCGCAGTGCTAATTCTCCAGGATCCTGGCTGGACTGGGTGTTTGGGACAGAGACCAGAGCCATTCCCGCGTGTAATCCTAGGATTACATGTGGCAAATCCTAATTTTTTATACCATTATACGTTGCTTCCTGTTTTGGAGAAGAAGGGACTTGCTAATTTCAATGGTAACAAAGCAAGCTGGAAAATAAGGCACATATGGGGTCAATTTAAAGGGCTGTGCGAGGAGGAGGCTGTTCCCAGCACAGCCACACGCAGCCAAACCCCGTGACGTGATGTGGCCATCCCGGCCCTGCCTGCGTCGGACAAAACAGGCTGTGCTGGGACTGGGTGGCACAAGCAGCCGCTTCCAGGCGGTGGCTTTGTCCCCTGGGCCAGGGGAAGGTGGCCCTTGCCTGGGCTGGAAGCGGTTGTGTCCGGCAGCTCCGTCCGGGCTTGCCCACGTGGGTTTGGCTGCTCGTTCCCCAGATGTCTGGCTCTGCCTGGCAGCTCTGCTCTGCTCCAGCAGCTTAGGAACTGAAAGGAAACGGAAGGAAGGCATCCAGTGTACAGACAGGGCAAAAAACAGATGTGGTGAGGCTTCTCGTCACACACACGCATCTCTCGCTGGCCAAACAAGCTGGGGGAGACAGAGACTGGTGGAGGGGAAAGACACAGGAGACTCCCAGCCCACGGGTGGGCACACGAGTCTAGAGGAGCAGTGACAAAACCCCAGCAGGGGTGAGAGCTGTGGGTGGTTCCATTAGCTGCTGTGCCCTGCTGAGCCATTGTTCCAAGGGACATGAGGATGGACAGGGGTGCAGGGTCCAGCTGTATGATGCATCCCTGGGTAAGGGATGACTGTGGACATGGAGTTTACTTTGCTCCTACAACACATTCCAAATCCCAGAGCTGTCCAGCCTGACAGCTGTAGGGAAGCCCTCAGTGTGGCACACAGAGGTGCCCACATGGCATCAGCTCGTGGGTCTGTGTGTGTCTCCTGCGTGGCACAAGGGCTGCAGGGAGAGGGGACGGCTGAGTGTGCCAGGACAGCGTGTCTGCTGCTTCAATACCGCTTCGGTGTGCCCGGCCCTGCTCCAGAGGGGCCTTTGGTCCTGCTCTTCTTTAGTAGTCATTCAATAAATAACTCTAATGCCCGTAGCTAAGCTTTTACACAGCCTCAGCTTGTGTTTCGGCTCTTGCAGTAGCGTGGTGGGCTCTTTAATGGCAAGTTTGTATAAAACAGTTTTTCAAGGAAGGGGTTTTTTTAAGTGCTGGTGCAAAAGGGCTGGTCTGGCAGCCTCCTCTCTCCTCCCTGCCTCTAGCCTGGGTGGCCAGGCATCCTTCTGCTGTGCTGCCTTAGGATGGTGTCGTGAGGTCTCTAAGTTGGGCTGAGGGCATCTGGCTTCAGATGCTCTCAGGTGCCTTTGGTTGGGTAGCCAGGGAGATGGCACATCTTTGAGCTGTGGGGTAACTCGGCGCTCGGCTCTCTTTGCATCTCCAAAGCGAGCTGGGTTTGGACAGAGCCCAGACAGTCAAGCTGTGCCATCCCCACAGCAGGGCAAGCAAAGGAGGCGTATCTGTGCCTGCTTCACTCGTGGCTGTCCATGTTTGAGCAGGGGGAGCGTGCAGGTGGTCTTTGGGTGCACGTTGTCCTGCGCACCTCTGTCTGTGCCACGGTGCCTGTGCTTGCATAGGAGTACAGAGGGAGAGCCTTCCCCCCGTTCCCTGGGTGCCAGCCCAGTGAGTGTGCACTGTGCTCGTGGCAGGAGGCACGTAGGGCCTGTAGCAGGTCACCCTTGCATGCTCACCTGTCCTTTGCAGGGGTCTCTGCCCCTGGGCACGGTGTCAGGGTAGAGGAGAAGGGGCTTGTATAACCTGTGCCCGACTGCCTTGCTCTCTCTGCTGGCCCTTCAACACGCTGGGCTCAGCCTCTGTCGAAAGTCACCACAAAGTGGCAGCAGCTTTGGCATCTCCCCGCCCCTCCTGGTGCACAGCTGTAAGGACTGGTGGCATCTCAGAGGAGAAGGCCTGAACACCCTCCTGTCTGCTAGATGGGCAGGGAGGGTCTCTTGTCCAGCAAGAGCAGCTTGGGCTGAGCCGAGATCCACAGGTCCTCTTCATCCTGCTTCTTCTTCTTCTTCTTTTTCTTCTTGTTCCTCTCGGCGTGCAGCTGCCCGTTGCTGCTGGGGCCACCTTTCCTCGAGCCTTCTCTCCTCCGTCTGCAGAAGCAGCAGTGGCAGCAGATGAAGATGAATGCGATGAGGACGACCAAGGGCAGGCCCAGCAGCACGGCCAGGCAGACGGTGTTGAAGATGCCTTCCTCATGCTTGGTGCGGATGAGCTCCAAGATGGAATTGAAGAAAGAGCTGATCTTCTGCTGCATGTCGGCTCCTGAGTAGGCTGCTTGCTCTGCGAAGGTCCCTTGGGATACCTTCAGCTCCTGTAAGCAGCTCGTGGGCTCCACAAGAGTCCTGGGATGGTGCCTGCAGAGACAAGAAACTACAGGGATCAGGTGCCTGCTCCCTCAGCAGTTTTCTCCATGGAGCTGCCAGCACAGCCTAAGCCTCAGCAGGGTAAGATGTCTCCTGCCTTAGAGGGGTCATGGGGGATGGACTGTGCTGCCTGCCACGTTCCTTTGGGTTTCTCCATCTGAGAAACACAGCCTTCTATATTCTAGGATTCTTTTTTGGTGGTGGGGATGGACAAGGAGGGCTTTGGGCATCCCTTCTTGCCTTGGCATCTGGCTGAGCACAAATCCTGCCCCTCTGCTCTTACATCTCAGCCCTCGCTGAGCACCAACAGCACCGAGCTCTTATTAGCCCTTTGTAGGGCTTGTTCCTCAGCAGAGGAAATACTTCTGCAGGAGGAGCTTTGCTGTCTAGGAAGGGACTTGCCTGATTGAGGTAAGGGACCACTCTGGAGAGCAGTGCTGCCATTGGAGCCGAGACTCCACATGTCTCCCCTTATCTCCAATTCATCCTGGGACAGGGTATCCTTGGACAGACTGTTTCTCATGGGCTGGGATGGGCAGCATAGAGGCAAGGAGTGCCTGTCCCAGGCACTATGCAGGGTCGTGGTCTGGTCCTCCTGCCTGGACACCCAGGGCACTGCCAGCAGGTTTGGGGTGGGAGCTGTGGTTAAACCACCTGGATTTCTGATGAGAACTGTGGTCATGGGACTCACAGGCAGCACTCAGGTGGGTGGACCCCGATGGGCTGCCTCCCTGCACCCAGGGCTGCCTCCCTGCACCCAGGGCTGGCCACAAAGGCGGCAGCAGGGGAGGATAAGGGTTGGCTGGGGATGGAGGAGCTGCCGCCGCCGTGCCTCACCTGGGAATTGCTCCAAGGGTTTGGGTAGGGCTGAGGAGCATTTCTGTGGCCTGACGTAAGGTTTTCCTCTTCCCTCAGGGAGGGAGAGGTGCTGTTGAGTGGCAGGGCTCCCAGGGAAGCCCTCCTGCAGGGTCAGGGAGCTGCTGCCTCTGCTCCGGCTTTCCTCCTCCCCTGGGGCCAGGCAAAGCTCCCGGGGGGTCTGAGTAGGGCAGGGGGCTTTGTGGGTGAGTCTGCAGTTCTGGTTCAACACAGGGGTCACCAAATTAGAGGCTGTACAGATGAAGAGCTGGCAGGGGCAGTATCAGGCTCTAACACCCTGTTTCACCCTCACTCAGCATTTTACATCGGTGTCTTTGCCAGCCTTTGAGATTCAAGCCCCGCAGCCTCTTGAGGGAATGCTGAAATCCCCGTGTGCCCAAAAGGAGAAACTGAGGTGCAGTCAAAGGAAAACCAACACTTCTATGTAACAAAACCTCAAAAGGTACAGCCTGAATTCCAAAGGTGTCCCAGAGGGGTCGCTCCACTTGTCCCCTGTGACACCAGCTCCTTGGCTTTCCCTCGGGCAGCTCTCTCAGAGCTTGGGGGAGGGCTGGGGCTGGTTCCAGCTAAATCCTCCTTGTCCATAGCACTGCCCTTCCTTGGTCTGCATGCATTTATTCCTGCTGTGGCACCTGCTAAGGGATGCTCTCTTGTATGGAGCGTTTTGGGATCCTCCAGTTCACCCAGCCAGCACACGCACTGTGCATCCTCCCCCTTTGCTTTGCAATTACACCACGCTCCTAACGAACTACCAAGCCACCAGCCTCGCCCAAAAAGGAACCACCAGTCCCACCCTGCCCTAACCACAGCCCTCGTGCTGCTGCTGAGGCAGGAGATGCTGGGCAGCCCCCAGAAAGGTGGCTCCCCAGGGAAAACCTGCCTTTGGAAACACTGTCCTGGGACCTTAAAAGCTGTGTGGGGTCTTGTTTCACCAGTCACCCCTGGCTGCTTTTGGACCTGACTGCCAGGACCCCAAGAGCTGAATCCCCCAGCAGAGACACCGAGGTCTCAATCTGGGATTCTAGAAGTGCTCAAATCCTGTTAGAAGTAAGGGGTTTATCCTCCATGCCCCTCACAAAATTTATTGGTTTGTTCTGCACAAGAGTGCAGCTGAGCTGGCCCCAATTAGCTGGTGGTTTCTTTTTTGAACATGAATTTCTGTGGGTGCCTTTTAAAAAACCTCTCATTTGAGATTTACCAAAAGAAATGCAGCGCTCTGGGAGGTGGTTTGGCCTTTGGCTGAAAGAAGTTTATTATTATTATTATTGCTGGATTTTTGTCTAGTCTGCTTGCATCTTTCAGTTTCTGTTTGCTAGAAAAGGAATTTATATATATATAAACACACATACAGAGTGGGGTTCTTTGGGAGGTAGACAAGCACAATGGCTTGCACTCAGGAGGAGGAACGCTCTTGTGAGAGGCAGAAGAGCCTTTTCCACCCAACTTCTGTTGCTGAGCAGCTTCCCAGCCTTGGGAAAGCAGCTGCTTCCCACATTCCCTCATTCCACTCAACAGAGGACAGTAATATCATCACCATCCCCACCTGAGAAATCATGGGCTACCACTCAGAGACTCAAATCCTGTCCATCCTTTTCCTACCCCCTGCCTGGAGCCAGTGGAGAGCATCCCAGATCTGCTTTTGCTCACAGAGGAGATAAGCAAGAGGCACTTCTTAAAGCTGCTCCCTGTCCTGACCTTCATCCTCTCCGAGGCTTTTTTTTTGGGCAGCTGTAGTAAAGGTTAAACTGCAACACAAACAAACAGAGCAGCTTTTCCTCAGCCTGAATCATCCAAGTGGTGCAGGTTTGCCATTTATCCATAAATACCCTGACAGCTCATTATCCAGGCACGAATACTGGACGCCTATGATACACTTGACTCCAAAAAAGAAGTCAAAAAACCAAACAACCCCAAAACAACAACCGCCTTAATTTCAGACAAAACAGGATGTGCAATTTTATTCCTGCGCAGAGCTGCTTTATATTTATTGCCTCTAAACTTCTGGGGAGGGAAAGAGGGCTGGAACTTCCTTTTAAACTTGTAATTAATTGTTTGCAGAGGAAAAAAAGCAAAAAAAAAAGGCAAAGCCCTTTGAAATGTTTCCACTTTAAACCGGAGCTGAATGTGCCGCAGAGGCCCCAGCTGTTTGTTCCTGGGAAGTGCCCAGCTGGGGACGTGTGGCCACCCCAGGCCAGCCCGGATGTGGCTGAGCATCCCTTGGAAGGGGAAGGTGGAGGTACCTGCCACCACCCTGAGCAAGCAGTGCCCAAACCCCAGGGCCATCTTCCAGCATGGCCATGCAGCTGCTTTTCAAATGCTTTTTCTTTTTGGTGCGTGCATCGCTTTTTGTTTTGTAGATGAAGGGATGTCTGTGTGCTAAAGAAAGGAGTTCTTCATATTTTAAAAAAAAAAAAAAGGTGGGGAGGGGAAAGTAGAAAAACTGGTGTCTTTGGAGCCGGCAGCTCTAAGGGCAGAGGGGTTACCCAAGGCCACCCACTGCCAGCTGAAAGCCCGAGTGCACAGTGAGGAGCTGCATTTAGGAAAAATCCGTGCTGCTGCTCAGTTTGGTGCGACAGCAACATTTCCCCTTAGAGAAGGGATGAACGGGGACAGCTGCCTCCACACTGTGGTCCAGGATGGGTGTGGACCGCCAGCCCAAAGCACATGGAGCTGCCACTGGGAGGCCAGCTGGGTTTTGGGTCAAGATATGGGCCAAAGAAACAGGGCCAGGGAGGCACTGGGAGACAGGGCTGTGTCTTAGGGAGGGCAGTGAAGCGCCCTGCTAAATGAGCTCTTTGTTTTTGGGCAGCCGGTGCTGGCAGAGTCAGGGGAAAGCTGACATGGAAACTCGCTTGGGAACTCCTGTGGCGAGGGATGGACGGCTCCGCCTGACAGCAGCTCTGCATGGTGAGGCTCTGTGCCACTTGTGTAAGTTTTAATCCAACACGAGGTCCTTTAATCCATGTTGGCTTCGAAAGAGCCAGTTTGCAAGGGTGGGGAGCATGTGCCACTCCTCCGGAGTTACGGGCGGCCGTGGGTGGAAAACAAGCTCCCTTTGAGGGCTGGTTTGCGATGGCACCGCAAACCGTCGGAGGCGCACAGGGCTCGCCTGGCTGAGGGGAGGGGTAAAGGCTGCCAGCCCGAGTGTGGGGAAACCAAAACAGAGGGGTTGCCTTGGCAATGCTGGCTTGTCCACATCCTGTGCACTGCAGAGCGACCGCAACCGGGGATGGAGGTAGAGTTTGCAGAAAAGCTGCAGTTTGCTGGAAACTGCTACGCGGGGTCACCATGGCAGAGGGGAGAGAGCTAGACGTGTTTTAGGACCTGATTTTGCTGGTTAAGGTCTTTAGGCTCAACCCTCAACAGGCTCTTATGTTTGTATGAATTTCCCTCCAGCCTAACAAAGCTCAACCTGCTCCTCTCAGCTGAGATGCTGCCTGGCTCAGGCTGCTCTGAGGTGCCCCCTGCACCCATGGTGAGAGCAGGGGTAGCTCCGGGGGACAACTGACAACTTGCTAAGTAGTGCAGAGCAGGAATCACGTTATTAATCACAACCATTTCCTTCTGTTACTGGCTTTATGTCAGCTTTATACCGACTTTCCATGGCACTGACAGCTGTGGGTCAGTCTGGGAGAGGCTAATTTCTCTGTTGCAGCCTGTGAGCTCCCTGATACACCCAGCAGAGACACAGCTATGCTGTCACACGAGTGGCATCTATTTTCCCCACTTGCACCTGCAGACTTAAAGGAAAACTGGATGAAACCTGACACCGAGGGTGTGCAGTTTCCTTAGCAGGGATTGCACGTTGCTGTTTCGGAAATGGTGACTAAGAAGAGTTTTGCCGTCGATCTCCCAGAACCCACAGCAAGCTACGGAGACCTTCCTCAAATGTAAAAAGCAAACACGACCAGCTCATTCCCACCACCATCAAACCTTCCTGCCAGAAGCCACACGTAGATTCTTTCATCCCCTAAGGGGAGCGATTTGGAAAACTACTGATACGGATGTTGGATAAGAGGGTTAAAGTGAAACTATTTTGCAAGCTGCTGCCTGGAGCCCACTCGGCATCACCGGCTGCACAGGCGCGGCTGCCGTCGGCCCGGGATCGCGGCGGCTCTGGCCAAGAGACCAGCTTTGAGTTTAGGTGAGCGCCACTGTCACCCCCGGCAGGACCGGGAGCTCCTCTGAGCCGTCCCGGGCTCCCCCAAACTACGGTACAGGCAGAGCAGGCGGGCAGCAGCCCCCACCCCTGGCCCTCGCTGGGGTGGATCGCGTGTGGTTTTGGTCACAAGAGGCTCAGAGGGCCGTCGGAGAACTTGTGGCTGCCCCATCCCCGGAAATGTTCAGCGCCAGGTTAGACAGCAGGTTGGAGCAACCTGGTCTGGCAGAAGGTGTCCCTGTTCCACGGCAGGGGGGTTGGAACCTGGTGGTCTTTAAGGCCCCGTCCAACCCACACCGTTCTAGGATTCTGTGCTGTTCAAAATGTGTGGATGCAGCCTCCAGCTCCGGTGCCCCGAAACCCCGGTGATGGGCAGGCCGCCCCTGACACACCTTCCCTGAGAACTTGTCGCTCCTCATCGCCATTTCCCCAGTGCCACCGTCCCCACCGCCCCTGCCCAGGTGCCCACCCCACTTCACCCCGCGAAGAGTTGTCCTTAAAAACTTATTAAAAAAAAAAAAAGAGGAAAGCCGTGGATTTGGGTAACGCAAAGCCAAGGATAACGCCCAGGAAAGCCCAGCCCTGGAACCCCCCTCCTGGGTACCCCCTCGACTTACCTCTGTGCCGCAACCCCGTCCCGGCAGCTGCTCCGGCGGTCGGAGGAAATGGGACGGCCCGTCCCGTCCCGTGGAGTCCCGCCCGCCCCCGCCCCCGGCCCGGCCCCGCCGCCCGCCCGGCCCCACCTGGGGCTGCCCCCCCCGCCACGGCCCCGCGTGTCCCATCACGGAACCCCAAAACTGCGAGGGGAAGGGGCACACCCCAGGCGGTGCCAGGCTGGGGGGATTAGGCTGGGAGAGAGGCGGGGAGGGGGCACAAACCGGCCCCGAAGCTGCTGGGGAGAGGGAGGGAACCAAGTGTTTCCCTCGCTGGGCTTTGGTGCAGCGCAGGTTTGCCAAGAAGCGTTTTTGGAGGACAGCAGGGAGGGTTGCGGGGTGGCGATGCTGCTTCTGTAGTGGGGAGGACAGGGTAGAGCTCCAGCTCCCCAAGAGCGGTGACAGGAGTGCCACTCTGTACCCTGTCACCACTGCCACCCTGTACCCCATCACTGCCACCCTGTATCCTATCACCACTGCCACCCTGCATCCTGTCACCACTGCCACCCTGCACCCTGTCACTGCCTTCTTGTACCCTGTACCCACCTGCACCCTGCTGCTGCCACCCTGAACCTGGTCACCCCCCCACACATGTTGTCACCCCCACACTGCCCTGATATCCACCCTCTGTCCCTGGAAGGGGGACACTGCACCCAAGCAGGAGGTGATGGAGCATCCCCATGGGAGGGGACACCCCGGGGGCTGCCCCTACACCCAGCAGCACTATGGGTGCTGTACATCCATGGATAATGAAGGATGTTTCAGCCCAGGAAGGGGGTTAGTGGCGGCCTTGGCAGTGCTGGATAAAGGGTTGGACTCGATGATCTCAGAGGGCTTTTCTGACCTAAATGATTCTATGATTCAATATTTTTAAACTGTCATCCTGGTTCCATTAGGATTTCTAACCCCACCCTTCACTTGCTGCTTTCTCTCCATCTCATTTCTTTTTATCTCCACGTCGGGGATATCCAGGAATCACCGGATCCCATCTGCTTTCCAGTCCGGGGCTGAGCAGCCTCCATGCAGCGTTGTGCTGCTGACAGCTGGGCAAGCTGCGACTAGAAAAATGTTTTACTGGAATTTTTTCTGGTTGGCTCGAATCCTTTTGGATTGCAAAACCCCCACACTTGCCCTCCTTGCCCTCCTTCATGCTCCAGAGCCAGCAGCTTTGCTTTTCTGCTTCAGCCTTGGCGCCGACTTGTCAGGCTGGGGTAGCCAGGGCTGCTTGACCCTTCGAGGCTGCTGGAAAACAGCCCCGTGTTCCCAGCGCTGTGCCTTGGCAGCACCAGGACCAGTGCTGTGGTGGGAATAGGAGGGAAGAGGGACAGAGAGGAGGGTGGAGGGATGGTGGCAAGTTGTCTGCCAGCCTCTGCTGCCCTCCTTCTGGGGCCAGAGGGGTGAGAGACCCCCAGAAACACACCTTGTAGGCTACAGCTTGTGCTAAGCACCAGCTTGTAGCCTTTGGGAAGGTATTTGTGTCCTGTGGGAAGCACCAAACCTTTTTCCCTGAAGAATTGCTGCTTGTTAACGCCGTGAACTTTTCCCTTGGTTCGATGTTGCAGAATGAAGATCCCTGGGCTTTGCATCTTGTTTGTGGCTCATTGCATCCCAGCTTACCTCACTCTGGCTCACCCCATCCCATATCTCCATGTCCCAGCTTCCTGTCCCCTCATCCTACCCCAGCTCACCCCATCCTGTCTGTCCCTGCCCCATCTCACCCCATCTCACCCCATCCCACCTCTTTCCCCCCGCTGAGCTGCAGCCCTTTCCTCGTTTGCAGGTACCAAATCCTTCTATTAAAACCACCTTCCCAGGGCACACAGGAGCCACCTGGGTGCTGACAGTCACCTGAGGGGACACCTGGCCCCTGTACAGCACCAGATGGGATAACAGCACCTCTGAAACCCTGCTCACAGGATCACCTGGAAATCTTTATTATCAGAGCTCTCCAAGGGTGAGCATGGCTGGAAGCACCAGGCTCGGGGTGCCCATCCCTGGGGTTGGGTGTTGAAAGCCTTGTCTGTCCCCAGTGCCTGGGAGATTTGCTTTGTTCCCTGGGCAAACAGCCCTGCTGGGGCTCCGGCTTTCTTGTCACTAATTTAATTTGGCAGGGGCCTCACCGAGGGAGGAGCTGCCGGTCTGGGCACCTTCCCCGGATTTTTGGGGGCCCCTCTGAGCACGGTGCTCCAGCAGCCTCTTGGCTTCAGGCAGGAGCATTGTGGTGATGTGGCAGAGGTGGTGGGCACTGACAGTGCTGATGTCTTGGGATGCTGCTGCCTATAGAGGAGACTCTTGATGCCATCGAGGATAGTGATACCATTAAGCTGAGTTGGGAAGCACTGGATAGACTTTAAGGAAACTTAAAATTAATGCAAGAATATACAAATATAATCAATCAGACCACTGTCTAACCCAGCATGCTCTTCCCCATAACTGACCTTTAAAGGTTGCTTCCAACCCAAACTGTTCTGTGATTCCACAGTGGTCCATAGGAGATGCTTTGAACGAATCTAAACACTATTTGATGCCTGACCTTGTGGATATCTTCTGCAGCAAGGAGTTCCGCGGCTCCTTCCCACGTGGAGTGGATAAAAGGTACGTTTTGGGGGGGATTTTTGAACCTGCCACCTCCTAGTTTTGTTTGGCATGCAGCATATCTGGGCTCCAAGGAATAGTGCTTTGTTTCTCAGAAACTTTACTGGGCGGGAGGAAGCCGTGACTCAGGCGCTGATGAATCACTGCAGCTCCTGACTATGCGTCTCCCTGCTTGCTGGTGCCCCTCAAGCACAGGAGCCCAGTGAGCCCATGCCAGGCCAGCTCCTGTCACATCATGGGATGTCGGTCTGAGCCCAGGCCTGGGACCGGCCGAAAATCAAATCCCACCTCCAGCCAGTTTTCCATCCGTCCTTCCCCAGCTCCTTATTTCCATGTAAGATGAAAGGCTTTTCCATGCTGAAAAGCCCCCCTAATAATTTCCATTTCCTCCCAAGTTCCTTCAACCCCTAATTTAATGTGGAAAACACTACTCATTTTGCACTGAAAATAGAAACACTCTCTTGCTTCCCGCTCGTTTCATTGGATTCAGCTGATTTATTTACCAGTTTGCCCCATTACACAGCTGGGAGCTTCACTCCTGCCTTGAAAACAGTCAGCTGGTACCCAGGGCCAGTTTATTTGGGCTTTTCTCAGCATGGTGGGATGGGAGGAGAAGCAAAGTGACTGCAGACATGATCACACCTTTCTTCCCAGCTGCTTCCTCTGCTCGTGATTTCTGTTTGCAGACACTAGTCTGGCTTAAAGTAAGCAATGGAAAACTCTGCTCCCGGAGAAACATTCCTCTCATTTTTCCCCTATGCTTCTGCTTTTTCCCCTCCCTCTCCCCCTCCCACAAAAAAGGCTGCAGTTTAAACACCAAAAATAACACACGCCTTGTCGTGGGCTGGATAAAAATAGCAGCTCTTGGTATTTACTTTAGCAGCAGCAATGGGTTTTCTGGCTTTGGAGGAGAATGGGGAGTAGGGATGGGATGGGATGGGATGCAATGGGATGGTGACCCTTGGAGGGGGGTGGACGACAAAAACAAAGCTGATATTTTGGGGACAGTTGCTTCATCCTCTCCTCTCCCTTGGTTGGTGCCTGTTGGGCTCTGTCCCCTCTGAGAAGGAGGGAGCTCTGGGGGTGGGTGGGGCTCAGGTGTCCCAGTCCCACCTGAGTCCCACCTTGGGCTAGTTTGGGGCTGCCCTTAAGTGTTGGAGCTCGGTCCCGCGTAAGGAGTGATGTGGAGAAATGCTGCTCTTAGCGGAAATGCCCCAAAACCGGTGAGTTTTTGGGGTGCCTCTTCCCCACCCATCACCTGGGAGGCTTTGCAGCTGGGCTTGCTGAGGTGTGTCGGGATCTGTCGAATCCTCCCTCCCTAGGGGAGAGGAATGCTGGGGTGGGGAGCGAGGTGGGGTCCTCAGGTGCCTTCTCAAATCCTGCTTGATGCTTGTGTTGAGAAAGTTGGGGTGCAGGGACCTGCGAGGGGCTGAGGAGGAGGAGGGTACGTGTCTGCTCAGGGCGTGTTTTGGTGTTCGAGAGGAGAGTGATGGGGCTTTGTGTTGGTTTAGAGCTGATTGTTTTGTGTGTGTGAGCCTTCAGGAACTCCTTCCTGAGGAAATCCTACGGGCAGCACTGGTGGCAGGCGAGGGGGAGAGGAGACACCCCAGGAGGTTGGAAAGCGCCAGGCGTGGACGAGTCCCGGCAGTGTGACGTGGTGCCTTCCCGTTTAGGAATGGCTCAAGGATCCTAAAGGATCCTTGAAGGCCAGGGGAGGAAAAACCCATTGGTGAATGGGAGTGCTCCTTTCCTCAGCATGGAAATGGGGTCACCAGCAGCATCCAGAGGCTGGATTTTGTGGAAGGTGTGAACCAAAGGCAGAGGAGTGAGTGACACTCGGGCACAGCCCGGTGCCCCCAAGGACCAGTGTGTGTGCCCGGCTGTGGGAAGTGGTGGCTCATGCCTCCTCCTGGAGCAGCCGCTCCTAGGGGTGTCCCATGCCCGACGAGTGTCAGATCTGATCTGCCCAGGTTGATTTTTAGGTGAAAAACTAGTGGTGCCAGCTGCCCTCTCTGGCACAGTCCTTCCTTAGGCTCAGCCCCACAATGCTGAGGAGGAATCAGTGGCTGCCCCTTGGTGCTGGCTGAGCCAGGCAGGGAGAGCCAATCCTGCTTTTAAATGATAAGCAGCTGCCAAATTATTGGTAGTATTTTGATTATTTTTATTATCTGTTCCCCTCCATAAGCCACTTCTATGGGGGAAGCTGTTCCCAGGGATCTGTGGTGAGCTGATGTCCCTCGGCTCAGGAGAGCATGAGGATTTTGGCTGGTGGCACTGGAGCGGTTGGGATGTTCTGTGCTGCCCTTGGGGCTTAGCTCCTGCCTGGGAATGGGACTCTTTGACCTTTGCCCTTCACAGTTCAAAGTCTTCCCGCTCCTCATCTTGTTTGCTACCAGGGGCTGCGTGAGGAGGATGCAGCTGGGTGTCAGGGCTTGGTGGGCCCTCTCCCACCCCCCAGGAGGGAACCGAGAGCAAAATGCAAATCGTGGTGGGTGAAAGAGGGGAAAAAACACCCAAGACCTTTCTCCTGGGGTTGTTTGGCCTCTTTCTGCCCCTCTGTGAGGGAGGGAAGGTTCCTGTATTTGGAGGGGAAAAGTCCCCCTCAGGAAGGGGGGGAGAGGCAGCCTTGGGTTGAGGTTGAGGAACCGATACGAGGGGTAAACAGGTGGATGTTGGCTGTTTTTGACATGACTGGAGTGCAGCAAGGGGCTGTGGGACCAGGAGGAGGGACAGAGCCTGTCCCCAGGAGCAGGGGGACAGTGCTGCCAGTGATGCTCCTCCAGCCCCATCCCCTCTGCTGCTCCTCTCCCAGCTGCCTGCTTCCAACGCCTGCTCCTGAAATTCTTACAGGGAGGATTTCCCACTTCATCCCCCTCCTTCTCTTGCTTTTAGGGAGGATTTTTCTCATAACCGTTTGCAGAGTTACTTCCTTCAGCCCCCTCTTTTGTTGTGGTGTCACCAAATGCAGGGGGCAGTGTGAGGACAAGGGTGTGTGTTGTGGTGAACAGAGGCAGCTTGTGTTCCCACCACATCCTGGTGTGCTCTGCCCTGCCGGCCAGCAGCCCTGCTGGGCCCTGCCGAGGAGCAGTGGCGGGGGATAACCTGGCTGGGAGCAAGAGGATTAGCCATGCTGCTGGGAATAAGCCTGCTGTGGGAGGGCTGCAAACCTTGACATCCCTACTGACAGCAGAAAGCAATCCAAAACACTGGGAGGGAGAGAAGTGCTGCTGTAAGGATGTCCCTAATCACAGACAGGATCTTGTCTCAAATATGATGTATTCGATGAGGATTTTTTAGCAGCCTTCCGTTGCCTAACGGGGCTCTTAAGAGAGCTGGAGAGGGACTTTGGACAAGGGCCTGGAATGACAGGACAAGGGGGGATGGCTTCCCACTGACAGAGGGCAGGTTTGGATTGAATATTAGGAAGAAATCCTTCCCTGTGAGGGTGGTGAGGCCCTGGCACAGGTTGCCCAGAGAAGCTGTGGCTGCCCCATCCCTGGAAGTGTCCAAGGCCAGGTTGAATGGAGCTCTGAGCAGCCTGGTCTAATGGAAGGTGTCCCTGCCATGGGCAGGGGCTTGGAACTAGGTGATATTTGAAGGTCCTTCCCAATCCAACTCTAGGATTGATTCTATGCTTATTGAAACAAGTCAGAAGCAGAAAAATTGCTGGCTGTAGTACAGGGAAGGGGGATAAGCCTGTAGGCTGCTACTCACAGCACTCCTCATCCCAGGATGAGGGGACAAATCAATGAAATTTAAAAGCCCCACATTTAGATTTGATTAAAACAGATAATTCATAATTTTTTTTTACACTCTACATGACTAAGCTTTAAAGCCTGTAGCCCCGGGAGTTTAAAATCCTCATTCCCATTTTTATATTTTTAAGGGACGATAAAAACATCCAGTCTTACGAGGAGGAATTAAAATCTGAAAATGTTAAAGATGGTGCTATAAAAATCCCATCCCTCAGGGCATAAAGCAACTGTGAATTTGTGGCACAAGGCTGCCCCTTCATCGACCTGCTCCAGCCTTGCTCCTGCAGGCATTGCCCCTCCTCCTGCTGTGCTCCTGGTTAAGTGTTTCCCTCAGGGTTTTGGGGGCTGAGGTTGCAGGTTGTGTTGTTGGGAACGTGTTGCTCGAGCTCTGGGTTTGGGATGGATGCCCAAGGTCCTTGCTGAGGACCTTTGTTCCACCAGCAAACATCAGCAGGGTGTACAAAGTTCCCGAGCATCGCTCATGCAAGAAGGGGACTTTGTGAGAGGGCTGTGATGAAATATCTCTGTATAAAGTGCAGCTGGGGGGGGGGCTGCGATGCTCTGCAGGGCGTGAAGTGCCCGAGGAGGAGTGTGGTGTGCCTGGCAAGGCATGCTCCTTGGAGAGCCTGGAAATGTGAGATCCCACCACGTGTGGTACTTCAGGACCGTGTCTAGATTATAGCGATGGCTTTGACCTGTGCAAGGGCAGAGGGGGCCAGAGCCATGTGATGGGGCAGGAGCTCCCCATTGTAGGGAGCAAAACACCTTCCTGGCTTAAGTAAAACTTGGGGCACTTAGGAAAGGGCTTGTGCCAGCCCTCACCCCCTTCTCATCCCATCTGAAACGTGGAGTTGGGCTGTGAGTCTCATTTTGGGAGGTGGGTTATGGTCCAGAGGGATGCTCTAGCTCCTCATGCACCTGCCTTCTCTGGGTACCAACCTCTAAATGATATGTGCCCACCTCTTGAGATTGGTTATTGCAATGGGAGGACTGTGTGTCCTCCAGGTGAGCTTTTTTTGGGGTGCTCTGCAGGAAATGGAGGTGCTGGGGGCCTCACTTAGCCCCAGATGTGCTGAATGGGGGGGGTACAGTGGAGGGTACTGCTCTCCTCTAAGGGACCATAAATGAAACCCCCTGAGTTAGGTCAACTGCTTGGCCAAGCTTGGCGAGACTGGGATGACAGGTACTGGTGCAGGTAACCCTTCCTCCCCATCCCAACCCCATCTCCATCCCTCAGCTCCTCCACCCACAGGGGAGAGCCCCTGGGCTTGCCTGAAGGGTCTTCCATGGCATTGACTCCCTTCAGACACAAAGAAGTTCATTTAATCCGGACAGTTGAGTCCATCAGGCTTCAGGCTTGGCTTTGGGTGCACCGAGGGTCGTGACCCCACGGTGGGGGATCCCCAACACCCACAACTTCCCTTCTTTGTGTCTCGCAAATCGGACCGAGAAAGAGAAGTTGAGAAGCTGCTGCAAAGCAAACTCCCCTGTTTTGTCTCTCTGAAATTAAATTTAGAAAATATTGAAGTGATCTGGCGGAAGAGCTTCTTTCAGGCTTTCTCATCCTGTCTGGCTACGTGTCAAACAAGAAAACCTAAGATGAGGAGGTTTAAATAAAGTCTGTGTGTGAAACGAGAGGAGAGTTTCAAAATCTTCTGAAAGTCATACTTGTCCCAGCGAGTTTTGCTAATCAGCTTTGGGGTTTTGTTTGTTTTTTCTTTTTTTGTTTTCCACTGGGATCATGTTCCTCTGGATCTGTTTTTTTGGTGGGGTTTCCATCACGTTGGGAATAGATTGCTGTTTAAATTGGGAGAATGGCTGTGACTGAAGATTTCAGGGTTGTTTCTCTCCACTCCCAAGCATTCATACCACGGCTTTGCTTTCTCTGGCTGGAAACTGCAGAGCCAAGAGCCTCTCTAGCTCGTGGGAGCAGCTAAAATTATTACCAAAACATCTCATGCTGGGCTGAGGCCAAAATGCAGCTTCTTGCCTTCCTGGGGTTAATGGATTGGCTGCACTGACCTGACTTCATGGTCACTTTATTGCTATTTTTTTAACAGGATAGTTGGGGCGGGGGGGACTTGGGAGCCTCTGGTCTTGCCTTCTGCCCAAGACAACCCTGGGGTTGGATGGGGTTGCTCAAGACTTTCTCCAGCCACCTACAAGGATGGAGATGCCAAAGTTGGGCTGCGCCAAAACATCCTCTGTTCTTTTTATCCCACTGCATGTGCTTGGTCTCTCATCTGGCTCTGTTCCTTCAGGTTCGAAGGTGAATCTGTGCCAACAAGCCCCCCACGCTCCTTCTACCATGGGATAACCAAGGATGAGGGACAGGACGTGCATGTCCTCTCTTGGCATGTGATGCTGCTGGGCTTGGATGTACCAGGGCCCTTTTCCCACCCCACTCTCAGACAGGCACACAGCTCACTCCTTCAGTATCTTTTATTAATGTATAGAAAATGCATTAAAAAAAGGAACTATACATAGCCTAAGAGCGGTCAGGACTAAAAATACTAGTTAACAATGGTTAACAAGCGTCGATCCCAATCTCCGAGCTACGTTCTCATTACAGGGTGGGGAGGGTTGTTTAATATATTATTTATTTATATTATTTATTTTATTTATGCATTTATTTGCTTTCCTCTTCCCCCTCATTTGGTTGCATTGGTTTGTGTTTGAGTTCATCAGAACTTGTCCAAGGCATTTCGTTGCCTCTTTTCTCCCTCCGTATTTATGGTTTTAAATTTTTTGTTAACATATTAAATGAGTTTCCAAGGTAACACAGCAGACTGCTTGTTTGTTTGTTTAGGTCTTTGTGTCACCCTCTTTCTGAGAAGCCACAGACATCTGGAGAGCTGCAGGCGGGGTATGGAGGTGGGTCTGGGCATCGGGATCTCCCCAGGGAAGGGCCTTTCCCTTCCCCTTAAGCCAAACCTCCCCTCCGGAAGGGGCAAGGAGCTGCCACCACCATCAGGGTTTAAGGAAGGGGGAAGGTGACCCTGGAGGGTGCTGGTGGTCCCCAGGGGGCTCTCTTGGATTTAATGGCCATCCCAGGGTGCTTGGTTTGAAGAAACAGGGATGGGCTTCTTGCTTGGCCCCGGGACAGAGCCCTTTGTTAGTGGGTGTAAGCATGAATTAAAGGGGATTTTTTGGGTGAGAGCTCTTTGCTGGCAGTGTCTGGTAAAGTCAAAACTTGTGGGTATTTCTGAGGGGCACAGGGCAGGGGGTGTGTGGTCACCCCAAGGTGCAATGGTGGGGACATACCAGGAGGGCAGCTCTGGGTTGGGATGAAGGGCATGTGCTGGTGTGGTGATGCACCAGGCAGGTATTTTGGCTCCTGCTGTATTTTGGCAGGTCACTCTGAGCCTGTTGTGGGCACGGGGACACCATTGGCTGAGCCCTCACCTGCCACACCACAGGGGATGAAGGTATGAGCTGTGCTTTGCACACCCTGGCACTTCACCTGGGGTAAGCATCACTTTGGGAAGGAGGGAAGAGGTTGGGGCAAGGGTGCATTTGATCTGGTACTATGCTTTGAGATGCCCATGGTAAAGTACTGCAAAGATAAGGAGTAGAAGCAAAGGCTTCTCCCCAACCTTTGTGTGGATACTCTTCTAGTAGCCTCCTGCCAAAACCCAGCTACCCTTGGGGAAAGCCTAACCTCTCTCCTCAAAATTATTAATTTATAAATTGCTGTCTTAAGGATCACTTTGCTAAAAGCAGCTTTTCCTTTCAGGACATTTCTTTTTCTCTTTGGTTATGTTTTAGTGCAGTGTGCGTTCGGAAGGAGGGCTTGGAGAAGGGAAACAGAGGGAAATGAAAACTGGGCAAGAGATGAGAAAGTCCCATGGTATTTCCTTGCAGGATTTTGGGGTTAGAAATAAGAGCCAAGAGGGTCCTGGGTGCACGTGGTGTTCTGCTGTGTGGAGGACCTGATGTGCTTCTTCCTGCCTCCTGTTGTGTGAGGTGGCATCTCGTGGTGGATAGAGTGGTTTGGGTGACAGCTTCAGGTTCCTTTTTGGGCTCTGGGACAAGCCTGGGCCACCTGAGCCCAGGATGGCACAGCAGAGCCACCAGAGCCCAGTGATGGTTCACGTGCTGGAGCCAAGGTCTCTCAAGATGAGCACTGCACGGGATCCAGGCTTGGTTTCTGGGAATTTCAAGGCCAGACTTGTCTGATTCGGGAATGAATTCAGAGAAAGAGTGAGGGATGGTGAGGAGAAACTGTACTTAATCACCTGCCGTTCTGTAGCGTCAACACTAAGCACAAATTTGCTTGAAACTGCTGTCAGGAGCTTTGTCCAAAAAAAAAAAAAAAAATTCATCAGGTAGTGATGAAAAAAGAATTTCTGGAAAACTGTGTCTTGTTTGTGGACAATGTGAACAAGGGACAATGGCCCAAATGACTGGGTCGTTGTTGCTGATTGTGTGCCTGGGCTTGGGTGGGGTTATCATCAGGAGAAAACCATGACGTGTAGAAGTCTTTGCTTTAAAAGACTTAAGCAACTGTGTTTCACCAAGATAATGGAAAGACAACACCCTGGAATCACATGTGAGGTCAGGGGCCAGCACTTTATATATGTGGCATTGGAAGGTTGGATATTGTCTCCAAGAGTGTCCTTCATACTCAGCTATGGAGTGGGGTCAACTGGGCCAACTCATCCTGGTTTACAGGACTTGTATCTCTCCCTCCTTCCTTGTGTCTGTCATCCCTTTTATATGTCAGTAAACCTGTGTAGCAAATAATCAGCCTTTTTGAGGATCTCCTTTTGAACCTCCTGGAAAAGCTTGCCATGCTTTGATTTTCTGTTTGAGTCATACTTTTGAGAAGAGAGGTTTCTTGCCTTCAGCTTGTTTATGAATGATGAGCTCCAGTGTTTCCACTGATGTCTCTTCCTTTCACCTGGGTAGGTAAGTAAACAGCACCATCCAAAACAGGTGATGAATGCCATCCACTGCCAATCTCTGCTCCTAGTTATAACCACTGCACTGTGCAGCTTTTCTTAGGACACTTCTTGACTATAAATTCTTGATGGTGTTGGGAAAAATTGCTCTGTTGGTCTACTAGGAGGCTTCTTAGTTTTTAGTCTGTTCCATCTGCTGCTTTTTGTTGGCTCTTGGGACTTAAAACAGGGCTGGGTGCTCAGGATGTGTGACATGCTGCCATCTGTGACACTGGCCATGTCCTGCAAGAGATCCCATCATCTGCAGCCTCTGACTGACCTGTTCATCAGCTGGTTGACTTGTTGCCTGATTTAGTGCTGATGGGAAGTAAGAAGAGATGCCTCATTTACATATGAGATGTTGCTGAGCTGCAGCATCCTCTCTCCAGGTCAGACTGCGGCTTGTAAGCTGGCCACAGAGGGGGCTGGACCCTGTATCTAGTCTTGACCTTGGGGTTAGCAGTGATTCCATGTGCCAGTGCGTGGCACGGACGAGGAGGCTGCATTCCCCACTTAATGCCCCTCTTCAGCTCTGCAGCCGTGGTGAGTAACGTCAGAACATTCAGGAGTGCGGCCGTGAAAGAGACACTGGTCTGAATTATAACCCACTGCAAAGATGCCTTTATGTTGCCATCTGGAAAACGTTTTTGAGACAAAGCAGCTTCAGTGTGATAAAAAGAAAACGCAGTGTTCAGCATTTGTAATGCTCCCTTGGCTGCGAACCCAGTGATGAGCTGCATTGTCCTTGGGCATGGGGACGCGTCCCTTCTCCAGGACCAGACCAGTGACAATGCCCAGCATTGATCAGAGCCCTCGGCAGAGGGGTGACTCGAGCATGGTGGCCATTTGGGCTTTGTGGAGGTGGTGTCAATGACAACAGAGCACAGCCAGAGCTACCTGAAGGGTCCATCTTCCTTGAGGCAGGAGAAGTTAAGGATGGGAAGAGCGAACTCATTAATTCTTCCAAGGGCCTTGAAGTGCTCCAAAATCTGAATGGACTAAGCCTTTCTTCCAGGAGGGGAAACAGTTGATTCCCTGTTAGAGAGATGGCGATACCAAGGCACTGAAATTTGTGTCCCTCTTCTGATGGCATAGAAGAGGGATGCTGTAGGAGAAGGAAGGGAATGTGAATTCCTCAGCTTGCACTTCTCTTCCCTTGGCTGCATTGTCATCATTCCCTGTGTGCGTGGAGGTCCATGAACAGGAGCACCTGGGCTGTGACAGCTGTTGGCTTCAGCCTGGGCTGTGGTTGTGTGGTAACTTTTGGTTGCTGCTCCTTCTCTGAGACCCTTTGGTTTGGGACCAATGACCTTGGTGAGAGAGAGCATGGCAGAAATGTAGAAATAGCAGAGGAAATGGGCCTTAGGCTTTGGGGCCACAAGGAATGATTTTTCTCCCAAGTCTTCTAATTTAAGTCCTTTCTTCTGCATCAAGCTCAGAATAACCCGGGCCAATGTGCACCTGGAGCGGGACGAATTCAGCTCAGAGGAGTGGATAATGCATGTTGGGGCTGGTGGAGCAGCTCTTGTTCCCCTACACCCCATGCCCACAAGGATGACTGTGGCTGTGGTGGGACCAACACATGAGCTGTGGACTCTCTGGAGTTTGCCTACATATGCAGGTATTTGCCAGACCCTCTGGGTGGGATCTGTGAAAACTGGGGAGGGGGTGAGCCTTGCATTTGCTCATCCTCGCTTGGTCTCCGTGTATTCAGAGGCTGCCCACAGGGGAGAGACGGGCCTCTGCCTGCTGGAAGAGTTGTGTCTACAGGATGGCATGAAGCCTGGGACTTCCCTGCCAGGAGGGGACACAAGGCAGGGAGAGGATGGGCACCCCTGGCCATGACTGGGGTGGAAATGGCTGCACCAAGGTCCCTGTGGGGAAGGTTCCTGCCACAAGCCCCATGACAAACATTCTAACAGGGTTTGCTGGGGATTTCTACGTCTTTTAAAAAAATATCAAAAAAATCTGTCTCTTTCTCTTTCTTCTCATGTTAAGGGTCAGAGTATTGGGTTAGGGAGACTGGAAATTTGGTATTTCTCTGGGACAGATGCAAAGCAATGAGGTCTTCCCTTTCCCACGGCCTTTCCTTGTGCCGTGGTTCCCTCCAGCATTTGTGAGGGGCAGGTTGCTATCTCAGACGAGTAGTAATTTTTTTTTCCCTTTTCATATTATAAAATACAAACAAATGACAGAAAAGGTCAGGTGGTGGGAGGCAGGAGGGGGTTCAGCTGGCTCAGAGCTGTAGGGACCGTCGTTTCCTCCCAGAGATGTTACGGTGGTTGTAAGGTCGCATCTTCATTTCCACAAAGGGGATGGAGAACTCGTGGCCTTTCCAATGGTACCAGTTAATCCCCTGGCAAGAGGGAGAGAAAGGCAGAGGGTAAAGAAAGACCCTAAGAAGAGACTAGTTTCTTCTAAGGAAGAAATTAGAGTGGGAGAGGAAGGAAATAAGATTGACTGCTGTAGAGAAGCCAGAAGGAAGAACTTGCTACAGCAGGAGCAAGAAACTCTCCTGCTGCTATGGCTTGATTGGTTTTTTTTCCCTCACTGCTCAAAGGGTCCTGATCAAATTTCACGTAGGTATTTTTTTTTAAGGCAACACAACAAGATGCCACAGCAAATGACCATGGCAGCCACTCTGAGGCACAAAGCATCAGCTCCCTTTGCTCCAGCTGGTGTGGGGCCACCCCAGCAGTGCCCCTGACCCTGGTGCAGTGACCATGCAGCCCCAGCCCTAGCCTAGGCTTGCTGTCTTGCGTCCCTAGAAGAAATGCCCGGGGGTTTCACGGCGGCCCTGCCCTTACCTGGCTGTGCCGGGACTCTCCGTACTTGCCGTTGAGGTTGGTGCGGTGGCAGTTCTTGTACCACCAGGCCCCTTTGTAGGACATGGCACAGTTGGTCACGGCAACGTCATTGTCCCTGTCCTTGGTGGAGAAGGGGCGGCCCTGGTGATAGGTGAGGGAGTCCCCTGTGGAAAGAGCAGCCGTTAAAGGTGATGGATTCCGAGTTATCTGGTCTTTTCACCAGGAAATTAGGATATTCTGGTTACGTGGTAGCCTGCCAATCAATGGCTCAAGCAGCTGACAGTCTGGGGCTAACATTAACTGGAATTGCTCACAACTGGTTCATCTGAGGTCCTCTGCTGTCTGTTTAGGATCAGTGCAGACCATAGCAAATCTCAGAGGCTGCTTGTCTTTGTCAGATAAAGTGCTATATGGGTTTGGATCTGAATTTGAGTGTTCCAGAAATTAATTCAATCCCAGATTTTGGCATCCGTGATTTCCTGAGGCTTGGCTCTGCTATATAATTTCAGGATGCTTTCAGCCTCCTTCCCTCCTGGTAGCCAAAGGGAGTTTTTTTCTCCCAAAGGAGACCCAGCATTTATGTCTTGAACCAAGATGCTTGGCCACCTTTTCTCCCTTTGGATAAGAGGAAGAAGTTTTGGGAAGGTGTGTGATGTCATATTCCACTAAACACACCAACCTCATTTTACCTCTTGGCTAAGGAACTAGAGAGCTGCTTTTGGGTGAAAGAAAAGTCGAAGTAAAATATGGTCATTATTACAACTGGGTGATGTACTTACAGGAGACATTCTTAATACACTCCTTGGTGGTCCTGAAAGTTTCCTGTCACTTCTCTTCCAGTGGCTACAACCAGTTATTGAATAGGAAAATTCCTGCACCTCAGATGTGGTGTGGGGTTCTTTGCTAAGTACATGGTGGTGAAGTTTTGTCGTGGAGGCCTGTGCTGGGCATGTCTATCCCAGCTTAAAGGGCTGCAGTTGTTCCCCTTTCCCCCTTCTTGGGGAAGAAACCCCCCCGTGCTCTTCCTCCATCACCCTCTGTTTTCTGGTGGGCAAAGCCTAACTCTCCTGCATCAACCAAGCAAGCAGGTGTGCCAGTGTCCTTGCAAAGCTGGCCAGTGTTTGGCCTCTACGTGAGGAAATGACGCAGGAGCTTTCAGATTTTTCCATAGCTGTGGAAAGGCGATAAATACACCCTCCAGCATGGCATCAATAGCCAGCTGCCGTTATTGCCAAGTGGGATGACACCTCTGATGACTGACCTGGTTATTTGAACAGCAGTGTCTCTGATATTAAATATCTAATCCCCAATGGAAAATTCCCTTTGTGTACTTAGTGGGATTTATCAGCCTGGTTTACATGATGGACTGCAGGAAGGCAGAAAGGACTGTGGGTTTGTGTCTTGCTGCCCTAAACAAGTCAGCCTTGCAACAACATTTGGGATTTCCTTTACAGTCTCAGACCCATGGGCCCCAGGGTTTCCCCAGATCCTTGCCAGCCGTGAGGCTGTACCTGAAGTGCCATTGTACTCCCCGATTCGCAGCTTGTACAGGCTGCGGGCGTCGCCGATGGAGAACTTGTCGTAGTAGGCGTAGGCGGCTTCCTGGCCGTCCCTCATGTCGATCCGCAGCTCGTAGCGCCCCTGGGACGTGATCTTGTGGATGTTGTCCAAGCCTGTTGAGGCAAACAGTGAAACACCTGGTGAGACCCGGCGCCTGGATCCGCTCCGTGAGCAAACAGGGAAAGCTCTAAGCAAATAAGACAGCTGTGGGAAATGAGAGCGAGGAGAGGAATCAAAGAGCAGCAGCACTTCTGGTGAGTCTGTGTCTCTCCTGGCACTGCTGGGGCCTGAGCTCTCTGTCCTCACTCAAGTTTCACCTCTCTGCGCCTAGGAGACATGAGTTCAAGGCCCAGGTTTAGCTTTCTCCCTGCTGCTGGAGCTGGGAACCTTCAGCTGTGGAGCCCTGGTGCTTCTTATGTTGCTGTTAACCTCCTGCCCAAGCCAGAGTGTGTTTAGGCTGCAGGGCTGGCCTTGGCTCCTGTTCAGGTTTTGGGGGAGCACACTCAATTTTAGAACTGTGCTGTGACTCCCACTCACTCCTTTCCTACTTTCTTTGGAAAATTGGCTTGCTGGCCAAGGCCATGAGCTGTAGATGTCACCAATGCAACCTGTAGTCATGGGATGATGGGGTTTGGTCCATGAAAAGTCCCAGTGTACTCCTCTTCTCTTCTAGGACGAACAAGTTAGGGAGCTGCTGACCTTCACCATGTGCTTTTACGTGACGTGTCCATGAGTGTCTTCTAATGTGAAGGGCAGGGAATGAACAGAAGGAAAACTGTCTGAGGGAGAGCGTAGAGGAATGTGGTGAAAGGCAGGGAGCCAACAGCTGGCACGGGTGAGCAGCACAGTGCACAGGGAGCTTGGGTTTGACACCTCGATGAAAGACAACCAGTGAAGGTCATACCCAGCCAGAACTCATCCTCCAAGTTTCCAAAGCCAACCCGGTAATCTGCCCATTTCCGGAAGAAATCGGTCAGCCCGTTCTGCCGCCGCTGGAAGACCTGAGGTGGAGGAAGACCGGGGGGAAAATCAGTGTGATGGAGATGAGGAATGCCTTTATTTTGTGTGTCCGAAGCCTGATAAAGATTATACTTCATCATTCCATTGTGCCTTTCAGGGGAGAAAATTGCAACGCCCATCCAGTTAGTGTTAATTGCAGCCATGCAATTAATTCATGTGCAGATGGAGAAACAAAAGAGGTGTTAGATAATGTCCAAGGCAAATCAATGTGAGAATAGGAAGGAATTGGCCTTTGAGCTTTCTGCTCTACCCAACACATGGTGCCTCTGGTTTTCCAGCACATGATTCTGCTTTCAGCTGGCTATTTCTGTGATATCCAAGGGGATGCTCTGAAGCAGAGTGAGATGGAGGGAAATCTACTGGCTAGAAATCAGCATTTGAGGAAGTCCATTTTTTTTTTGGTTTTGACTATACATCTAGCAGGGTTTTGTGTAATGTGTGTGTAAGTAAGTGTTTGACATGAATAAGATCAAAGCACCATGGCATTATTTACTTATGCTGTCAGTCCATCTACGTCAAGACAAGCAGTGTTTGTGCAATTCAAAAGCCAAAGAGGCATTTGTTTCTAAAGTGCTCCTGTGCAGACTCAGCCGGGGTGATGCCTGACACCCTCCTACTGCAGGCAGCGTGAATCATTCCCCGTGAAAGCTACCGGCCATTAATTTCATTTCTAGAACAATAAATCAGCTTCAGTCACAGATTTTGCTCTCCAGAAGCACTGCAAACATGTCAAATAAATCAAAGGGCATTTCTCCAAGTGTAACTATTATTACCGGAGCGTGGGCCATTCCCCATGGCGTGGGAAATGAAGCGTGCGATATGAAGCCTGCTGTCGTTCCCGCGCAGCGTGGGGCTTGGCTCTGCTGGTAGGATGAGGCTTGGCTGCTCTGTGATGGGGACAACATGCAGGACAAGCCCACAGCTACTCACAATCCAGCCGCCTCCGTCGGTGGTCATGTCGCAGAACACCGGCACCCTCTGGCTGAGGTCCCCGTTGATGGAGATGGTGTAGACACCGCTCAGGGTGTCTCCGTTCATCAGGTGCTGGGCACAGTCCTGGGGGTTTGCAAACACACGTCCTCCTGCAAAATTTAAAAAGAAAAAAAGGCAAAATTTAAGCAAAGAGATGCCTTTTCCCCATGCCTCAGGCTCCACTGGTTGTGATCCAGGTAAGGCCTAACTTGGCTGCCGTGTCCGGAGTAATTTGGTGAGGCAGTGGGACTTTACACCTGCCATCAACATGAGAGGACTTAATGGAAAAAAATGAGTGCATAAATTAATTATCTCCCATATGTCCTATATTGGAGAGGTGCATGGTAACATCACTATGAATGATGAGGGATGTCACTTCTTGGACCATCTTTGTGCACCATGTCTGAAACCCTGGGGTTTAAGCTGTCACCAGCATATTTAGACAGCTGTGAAAATACCAAAACCTGTTCTCCTCTCAGGATTGCCAGCTCCAATCAAGTTTTATGACTTTACTCATTCCAAGGGGATCCTCCTGATTCTCCATGCCCTTGGAAGTGACGGTGGACTTATGCTGAGCTAATTTTCACTTGCAAGTTGGGCAGGAATTAGGCTGTGTGAGATGCTAGAGACAGGCAGCATGGGCAGTGTGACGGTACTACGGGTGTCCTCTAATGAGGAATCATCTCATTTGAGGGCCAGAGTTTAGGACAGTCTTAATTATGAGACCCCCTCAGTATTGGAATGTCAGCTCTGAGCACAACTTTTTCTTATTTGATGCAAAAGAGGGAAACACATCTTTTTCTTTGCTGTTGTTGCATAAGGATGATGGAGTAAATAAGTGCAGAGCTGGAAATGTGGATGTGGCTTTCAAGGATGTCTCAGTCACACATTGACAAGGTGTGAAGGACCTTCAAATCTTCAATGCTCTGTTTGTCCATCACAATTGTGTGGTGCCCCATAGGACCAAGGTACAACCCTTGTCTCTTGCTTCCCACTTGGGTGTATTCCCCCCTCCTTGTGACCTGAAGACTTGGAGGTCATTGCTTTGTCCAAATGTTGAAGATTCCCTATTTTTTTCCATCTCCATGGTCTGTAGTCCAGTGTCTGGTGAGACATTGTTTACATTTTATAGTATCCAACAATGAAAACTTCTTCAAAGACAATGAGTTTGGGCTCCCCTGAGCTCTGTGGAGATTGCTTGTTTCTTAATTTATATTCATATCTTTAAGAGCCAAGGAGACCTTGAAAGACATTTCAAACCACTATAAATTATAAATACTGTATCTGTTTCTTCCTTTTGTCTCATCTGTGTACAATTCCCCAAGAACCTTATGCAAACATGAAACAAAAGAGGCCGAGCTATTAATATGTCAGAGGGAATAGAAGAACCCCGGGATGTGTACTGTAAGCAGAAGGAAGCAAAACAATTTAAATTAAGCCTGGATGTTTTTCTTTTTTTTAATTTTTTTTAGTGTTTTCTTGAAGACAAGTCCTTGTTCTCAGCAAAGTGTCCTGATGCATTGCCAGAGTAAACTGAATCCCAGATCTTGATGCTTCACTCAGGGGTGTATCCATGGATTGCATTGCCTTGGTGATACTTCCTGGGTGCTTCTGTCTCATTGATATTGGGGTAAGTGGGGAGAAGCTGGTTTCTTGCTGATGCTTTTCTTCGTCTTAAAAGCAAATTGGCTGCTGCATCAGCTGGCAACAGTGACTCTAATGCTGCTGAGGTCTGATGTTTGTGTTTGACGGAAAAGGTGCTCTGCTTGCCTGCTGTGACTGGATTTCTGCTGCTTTATCCCAGCTGAGAAGTCACCCCCGTGCAGCTTCATCCCTGACTCCCAAACAGCCTCAAAGATTAGATGCATATGTCCATCACCTGCCTGAATTGCACTGGCCTTATGTGCCCATGTAAGAGGCAAGAATAACAGGAAAGCCTGTTCAATAGATGCATTAGACCGGAGTCTTTTCTTCTTTTGTTGATGTAAGTAGTTGCTATTATCTCTGAAAAGCAGGTGAAGGGACCTTTGCATGTAACTGAGATGGGGAGGTGTACCCACAGCCGATTCAAAGAAAACTCTCCTAACTGAACTGGCAGTGCAGATCAGAAGAATTTTGGTGGATGTCCTGTATAGGCTTCTCAGTGCTTTTGAAGCCCAGGAGAAATGGGATTGGGTTCAGCCTTACTGTCTGTAAGTGCCCTGGCCTAGCCAGGCTTTTCAAAGAGGGTGAGGGACATTTGCTTTGCACTATTTCTTATGTGAATTGTTGCAGAGGGTGGGAGCGATGGTGACTTTCTTTGTAAGCTTCATTCTTGCCAGTGTAAGTATTCTGTGTGTGAGGGCTGTGGTGACTGTGGATGCCTTTGATTTGGAAATCAAACCATTCCCATTGCCTTAGTGGATTGTGAATTCTCTAGCATTAGAGTGGGGAGGAATAATGCAATTAGATAAAGTCGGTGGATTAGATAAAGTGCTGGCCCTGCTGTCTGTGACCTCACTGGTGATGCTGGAGATGCACCTGCGTGATGTTTCCAGGGATGCTTCATCCCTGGAAACTTTCAAGGTCAAGTTGGACAGGGCTCTGGGCAACCTGATCAAGTCAAAGATGTCCCTGCTTATTGCAGGGGGGTTGGACAAGGTAACCTTTAAAGATCCCTTCCAACCCAAACTATTCTATGATTCTTTGATATTTGTGAGTGATTGGATCATGTCTACAGTGTGGAGAGACCCAGCTGGTCTATTCACTGCAAGAGCTTACCTGTGGATACGTGATGTTGACTATGCATTTGAGGAGGGGCAAGGACAAGGCAAAGGGCCTGGTAAATGGGTTGGGTCTCGTGTTTGTGTTATAGATCCTTCAGCCATTAATGTTTTGTAGCGAGGCAGCACTGTGGGGCATGGCACTGTATGTACCTCTCCGTGGATTGCTATGGGGTGCTGCCTGAGGAGGGAAAGCCCACAGAAGCAGTCTGTGCCTACCAGCATGGTATGTGTGCTGACCTCCACCTTCCCAGGTGGGTGTGGCTCAAGTGCTCACCTGTGGTGAAGGTGGTGGAGATGACGCCGCTCCGCACGGCGTTCTGGGCAGCTTGCAGGCGCACAGTGTACTCCGTGGTCTCCGACAGCCCCTCCAGGCGGATCCACGTGTCCTCGGCATCCACAATCAGCTCCTGTACATGGGTCCCAGAAGGAGGCAGACACCAAGAGCAACAGATGAGAAAAGCGGTGGGGAGCCTAAAGAGCAAGCGAGGAGGGAAGGGAAGCCACAAACTACCGCAGCCCTTGGTGCCTGGCCAAGGAGCGTTGCATGGCTGCTTACACCCCTGGGCTGAGTCAATGAGGGCAACGAACACGGTCAACATTTTGGGATGGTTTGGGTGGGAGAAAGCAAAATGGTTTGGACACAGGCAATTTAAGTGTTTGCAGTCTGTGTGCTCTGTTTACCGACTCCGTTGGGATGTGCGTGCCCTCAGTACGGGGCATGACTGGTGGCCTGAGCAGCACAAGGAGCAGAGCAGGCCAAACCTGGTTACCAGCCAGTTTTGACTCCGTCGATTCCTGTCCTGTTAATTTTTCTGGTTGTTGGCCAGTGCCATGCAAGGTTATCGAACCCCTTCTGCAGAGCCACTGTCCCCTGGCTGCTGTGAGCCAGTCACGCCAGCAAAGGAAATGAGACTGGTGGCAGTGACGTGTTTCTGATGGCATTTGTAGCAGCTCTCCAGACAGGCAGATGTGGACACACTCATTAAATAATCAAATATATTGTATTGTGGGATTAATTAGCTGTCTGTGCCTGTCTTCCTTTTCACGGGAAGGGCAAATGGCATTTTTAGCATCTCTGTTTGCAGGATAATTTTCTCCTGCCTCAGCTTGCTTGTGTTTCACAAGCTGTGAATTTCCCCTGTTCCTCCAAACTTTCCAGGTATCCCCTCTATGCTCAGACCTGCAGGTGTGCATAATCATTTTGCCTTAGGCAATTTCTTCTTGCTTTTTCTTATTATTTATCTAAAGTATCTGCTTATGCAGAAAGTAATGCCTGCCCTTCTGGTCTCCCTGAGCCGGTGAGCACCGTTGTTTTGCTTTGTAGGGTTTCTCCTGGTTGTTTCTCCATAGTCTTGTTATTCCCTGACTTAATGAGCCTGTTTCTTTGTGAGGACTCACTCACCTTCCGGCTGCCGTCAGGGGATCTGTAGGTCATGATGTAGTTCTCGATCTCTCCCACGGGAGGAACCCAGGAGAGCAGGGCGCTCCGTCGGGTGACTTCACTGGCGGTCAGATTTGTTGGAGGATCCAAAACTGCAACAGTGGATAGGGACCCCAGGGAAGGGAATGTTCTCACACACAACCACCCCAGTCCCATTTCCCAGCTCAGTACACTGGGATTCAACCTCGCAACACAGAGCTACAACCCAAAGTCCACCCTCACCCGCAGTTTCAAGACCTCATCACCCCTCCCCAGCCTTGAACAGAGCTCTGCAAACCCTCTAGAAGTCCTCTGCCTGTGTGCCACCTCAAGGGTAACAGCTCTGAAGTTAATGTCAAGCTGCTTGTGAGCAAAAGGGGTTGTAGAGCTCTTCTGGACTATGGCCTTGGGCTAGAGAAAAACCTGGTCAAGGGTATTCTCAGGAAACCACATCCAGGGGAAATCGAAGATAGAAAGGAGTTGATGGATGTTGAAAAAGTGAAAACGATAGCAGATGCTTGTTGATTAAAACTCTGTTCTTGTGTTGTGCCCAGCGCTAGTATTTGGGTGTCCTTTTGGCACGTGGCTACTTCTATGTCCACCGTATGTGAGAAGAGCTTTGGCTCAGCCTGGCTGGCTGCTTGTCCTGGGGTGGGTGCATGGCTGAGGGTGGGAGGTGGGGAGGGGATTGTACGTACGGGTCGTGAAGTTGGTGCTGATGGTCTGGCTGGTGAGAGGCCCGCTGGTGGCGTACATAGAGACCATGTAAGTGGTACTGGGCAGCAGGTTGGTCAGCTGGTACTCCTGGCTGTCTCCATCCACGAGAATAGTTTCTCCTGCAACTGTAAGCCAACAGGGATAGGTTCAGGTAAAAGTTCCATGTAATTCTCCAAAATGTGCCTCTGGGTACGATCTCACGAACAGAAGCACTTCTAATGCTGAAACACCATAAGCTGCAGTGCCACAGCTGAGCTGCAGTGGTGGTGTTCAGCCTGAAGGATAGTCTTATTTTTCCCACTGTCCCTATAAAACCCAGAGTAAGGGCTCCTTCCCTACTCTCTCACCTGAAGGGTGACTGCCAAACCCTGGGCTTTGGGATGGGGGAGAGGTGGAGGTGAGCTGAAACAGAGCCCCAGTGTACCTGCATGGCGGGTGAGGACGAGGATGTAGCTCTCCACCTCTGACAGCGGCGGGTTCCACTGCAGCAGTGCCTCGGTGGGGGTGATGTTGGTGGCCGTGACCCCCAAGGGGACATCCATGGCTGCATGGGGGAGACATTCAGAGAGTCAGAGGCATTAAGAGACTGAGCTATGAACTGGAAGGGCTTCTTGTGGCCCACTGCTCATGGTCTTGCCCTGCTGCCCAGGCACATGGGCCTGCAGGGGAGTGACTGCTGCCTAGGCTGGAGTGCAGAGGGGTCATAGCTTGTGCTACTCTGCTACCTGGGCTGCTCCTCCTCTGTTTTCCTGATGCACAGCCTGGGATATCAGGGATTTTCTTTAGGTTTTGAGGAGTCTGTGGATAGTGGAGGGTTTTATTCTTGCAGCAGATGCTGTTTGTGACAGGGCTTCCCAAGGGATTATTTCTTAAAATCTGCACTCCCTTTAGGAAAGCTTGTCATGGTGGCCCAACATTGTGTTTCTGGCTTCCCTGTGGCTGGTACACAGGTTTATCACTTTCCCCCATGACTACCCATGAATATTCTGGAAAAGCTTTGCTAAGACATATTTCAAAAGCCCACATTGGGCCCTTGTGAGCTTTGCTTATCATCCCGAGCTTGCATCAGGCTGGCATGAGGTCCAGCTTGCTCTCAGTCGCCTGATTACTAAGGCAAGAAGGGATTGCCAGCCCCGCCCGGGGCTGGAGCTGTCACTGTTTGGTTGCTCCCTGCCCACCAGGAGCCCCTTCCCACCTGTGTAGGCGGTGATGGAAGCCAGCTCGCTCTCCTCCCGGCCCCGCACGCTCTTCACCCCAATCTCGTACTTGGTGGCGGGCTCCAGGTGGTGCAGGGCGTGCTCGGTGACATCCTTGGGGAGGGCGGTGCTGTCTGTCCTCCCTGCAGGGATGGAGCCAAGAGCTTTGGCAGCAGGGCTGGCCCCATCCCTGGGGTACAGGAGGTGCTCGGGAGGGGAGGGCAGTGCCACAAGGTATTGGAGATAACTGGTTTTCGTGCCTGCAGGTGCTCAGCACTCTGCTGGCTTGGCCTTTTCAGTATCATAGGCAAAACTGGGGCCAAGGAAGATGAGGTAGTGGAAGCAGATGAGGGAGGTGGGATTTCAGGATTGAGCCCTGAATTAACCGTCCCTGTGAAGCACACACTGCAGGGGGTTGCTCCCTGTGCCCCTCTGTGCCAAGCTGGCCCTTGGCTGCAGTTGTCCCTTCTCATCCCCAACCCTGGCACCCCATCCTCTGTCCCTGTAGCCTTTTGTTCCATGCCAGTTATTGGTGGCTTTTACCAGGGCATGGGATGCTGTCTGGGATGAGGATGACCTGGTGGCTTGTTCATGCCAGCGGATGGAGGGAGGGTTGGCAGCTGGGAGCTCAGGGCATGAACAAGAGTGCTCTGATCCCTTACCTTCAGCAGCACGGTAGGATATTCTGTAGTGGTCGAAGGCAGCGATGGGAGGGCTCCAGTAGACCATCATGGACTCCTGGGTGACGTTGCCCACCCTGAGGTCCTTCGGCGCATCGATCCCTGGAGAGATGGAGCGCAAAGCAAAGCTGTGGGAGGCAGGTCCACTCCTTGTTCCCCTGCCTGCCCTCCCGGTGGGGTCCCGTGCCTGGTGGGGGGTGTCCTGTGGTACCTGTGGTGATGGAGCCCACGACAGGCTCGGAGCTGACGGCGCCGTGCACGGCCACCAGGGACACCAGGTACTCGGTGGAGGGCTGCAGGCCCGTCAGGCCGGCGTGCCGGCGGGTGCCGTCCAGGGTAACCTGCTGCGCCTCCTCCGCGTCCCGAGGGCTGTAGGTGAGGATGAGGCGGTCTGCAGGTGGGGATGGGTCACTCCACGTGACATTGACACTGGAGGACGTCAGCTGGGAGAAGTGGAGCTGTGTGATGGGCCGAACACCTGGAAGGCGGAGAGGAGAGATGCAACTCCAACCATCTGCAGATCCCGGCCTCCACGGTGTTCCCAGTGCTTATTTGGGAAATACCCAAGAGAGGTGGCAAAGCTGGAGCTCTGGGCTCTCCACTGACTTGAAGCTGTGCTGGCGTCAATAGGCAGAACCAGGAGGGGGAAAATGGTGCTTTCATCAACCCTGCCTGCAAACACCCTCCATCCCAGACCCATCTGGTAGGTAATGGAGCTGTCCTACTGCAGATGGTATGTCTGCAGATGGTTGTCTGCACTTCATGACTGCAGACTTTTCAGTCAGAGAACCTTGTGAGTTCCCTCGAGGCTTCATTTCTCCTTCTTTTGGACATACAGACCACCCTGACAACAGAGAACAGCATGGGCTGTCTGTTCCCCCAGTCCTGCCTTGTCCTTTCAGAAGCCTCCAGCCAGGCAAGTGTGCTCAGTGCTGCTGGCCAAGGGGACTGTGCCACCACACTGGTAGGACCATCCTCCTTTTGAGGTCAACAGATCTGCTTCCATGTGGACACACTGACCCCAGCTCTCATCCCCATCACCGCCCAAGGGTTTTGGTGCTGGGGACATGGTGGGCTGGCAGAGGTGACAACACAGGGTAGTGGTCTGTGGCCTTGGCCCCATCCCAACTTGTCTGTCTTTACCTGTGAAGGCATCCACGGTGGCCTCCAGGCTCTGCTGCCGTCCCCTCTCAGCGATGATGGAGATGGTGTACTCCGTCCCCGGCTCCAGCTCTGAGAGGGTGAGCTGTGACTCGTCCCGGGACACTGTCACTTCCGAGGCCATCCCTGAGGCAGGGGTGAAGGTGACACGGTAGTGGTCGATGGGACCCGAGGCTTTGGTCCAGGCCAGTGAGATGGACGTCTCTGTGGAGGCTGTCACCACAAGGTCCCGGGGGCTGTCAAGCTCTGTGGGAGAGGGTTGGTGCAGAGCTTTGTCCCCATGCACAGACTGTCCCGTGGGGACATCTGAGCCACAGGAGCCAGCTGTGTGTGGAGCAGGCAGTGGGGCCAAACTCACCAGTCCTGGCGTTCATGGTGGCCGGCACGCTCTGCTGGCTGTCCATCACGGCCGAAATCCCGATGCCGTACTCTGTTCCCGGCACCAGATCTGCCAGGGAGCGCAAAAGACATGAAGGGGTGTGAGAACAGCACCTGGCAGGGTGACCTCAGGGTGCAACCCCCCCAGCTCCCAGAGCTGGGGACATCCATGGCACCCCTGGGGTGAGCAGCCCTCCCACAGGTCAGCAGTTCCTCCGTGCATTGCAGAAGTGCTGAGCCTTCTTTAAAAACCCTGTGCCTGCCTTTGGACAGGGAATTTGGATTATTTTAGCTCAGAAACAAGACATTTTTAAAAGTTGTTGCTGAGGTCTGCTGTAATTGCTGGCAGTGAGACAGAAGCTCTGTGTGTGCGAGCTGAGATGGGAATGACAAAGTAGCTATATTTGTTTCCAAAGTGATGCAACATCGAATATTGTCACAGGGCTGGTGTCTTGGAAAGAAATAAATTATGCAGAGTAAATGAAATGCACATTAATTAGGAAAGGTGCAGTCTTCCTGGGAGCTGAATCAAGCCCTGCTCCTTGGGGTGGATGTATCCTGCAGTGCCTCTCTTAAGGGACATGGGAGTTGAGTTCATCCAGTTCCTTTCCTGATTGCTGTGATAACCATGTGGGACATCTCCTGCCTCTGCCTGTCACTTCTGCTTGGCTGCTGGTGGCTCTATTCCTCTCCTCCCTGTGCTTCCTGATCTTTCCCACAGAGCTAAAAAAGCCATAAACCCTCCAGCCCAGCCTCACCCTGCCTTGCCCAGGAGCAGCATCCCCTGGAGCCACCAAAACCTTCCTTGAGAGGTCAGGAGAGAGGGAAACCCTCACCCCCTGCTCTTCTCTTGCTACAGTGCAGCCTTGGTGATGGGGGGAAGATGGACCCACATCACTTATAGGCCCTCCCCAGTAAGTGTCAGAAGTATCCTGGAAAGGAGGAGAAGAGCCTGGGAGAAATGGGGAGGAGAAGGAAGAAATGAGCAGGAGCATATAAACCAGTCCTTTTTCTCTGCCATCTCTTCTGGGTAGTGCAATGTTATGGATACTTCTGTGCAAATGCTGATTTTTAAGAGAGACTATGGGGCAGGGCAAGGCTTGCTGTAGCTTAAATCTTTGATAAACTCTGCTCAGTGCCATTCCTCACTGCTTTTCCTGCAGGCAGATGAAGGTGATGGAAGGAATTACTGATTGTTTTCATGTCATGGATCCCATCAGGTCCTGGCTGGCTGGAAACACACCCCAATGTGTTTTGCACCCCATAGAAGACTGGAGGACAGGACTGCTCTGTGCATATCGCAGCTATGGGAGAGCTGAGTGCCATCCACTCTACAGCTCTCCTGGCTTTTTTTTTTGCCAGCAGAATGATTTTTTGGGTTATTTTATGCTATGATTGGATTTTTTTTTAATTGGTTTGTTTATTACCCTGGGAACTGGAAGCAATGCACTTAGGTGATGATGGAGGCACTATGTAAAAATCACTCACTGCTATTGACTTAAGCCTCTGCATCTCTGCAGCTTGCTCTGGCAGGATTTCTTGCAGCCCTGCCTGAGTCTGGCAGAGACTTGGCACCTTTTTTAATTTTACTGAGAAAAACAAGAGCCTTCAGGCTGCCACGTCCTCCAAGGCAAGCTCAGGTTCTGCCATGGGTGTCGTCACAGTTTGTGTCACCGGTGCCGTGTTGTACCTCTGCCCCAGGGAGGGCAGTCTGGCCAGTTTTTAATGCTTCTTCTCACTTGGAAAGCCAATAAATGTCCTAGAGGAAAGCTAGCAGGAGTCCAGCAGCCAGCCTCCGATCTCATCCCACTTCTCCATGTGTGTCCTCATCAGGAACGCAGCAGAAACTGTCCCTAACATTTTTCTTCTTTCCACATACCACGTTTTTCAAGCTATCTGCTCTAATTGCCTTCCTGCCCTCCAGCCTTTCTCGTGACTCTGCTGCTGTGCCTGCAACTTAACATTCGACTTTCCTTCTGGACTTACTCCTATAGCTCCGCGTGGCAGATTCCTGAGCCCTTGAAGGTCCCGGGAGGGCAGAGAGTCAACATGGAGGAACCTGATGTCCTGCCATACTGAAGAGCTTCAAGCTGAATGAGTGAACTTTTTTTGTGTAAGTAAGTCTTTTCTTTGCTCAAAAAGTGCCACCAGAGCAGCAAATCCATCAGGCAAGCAGTTCTGGTAGAGAAAAAAAAAAAGGAAACCAGATCTCACATGGTGCTTCACTGTGTTGCTGCACGAGGTGTTTGGGGCTTTCCTGGCAGTGAGAGGTGGGTGGTGTTTGCAGCCCCTGGTGGCACCCCCTGTGCTGGCCTGAATTGTGTATCACTTAAAGGACTTGCTCAAAAATAGCATCCCTAGGTTTGGGTCTGCTTTGTGCCTGATCTGGAAAAAGGCAACAAATTCTGGCAGCCTGGCTCCCCATCACTGCCCACAGGGCATCATCACCTGTGTCTCTTTCCCAACAAGGAAAAAAAGAGAAGGGTGAAATAATATTTCCCTCTAGATCGGCCTAAAAAGGCTTCTTCTCTCCATTTCTCACTTTGCTCCTTGCCAGCTCTGTTTGGCACCCGGAAAGATCCTTGCTGGAGGTGCATGACTTGGAGGTGCCCGATTTGGAGGTGCGTTACTTGGAGGTGCATCACTTGCGGATAAGCAGCACCCAAATCCAGACCCACACAGGGGAAAATGAGCTACATCCCAAGGAAAACCTTCTCTCCAGTAAGCAGTAAACTCCAAAACAGCCTCAAACACATGCCAGCATAAGGGCAACGGCGTATCAGTGCTGATTTGGGCTCTCCACTGCCCTACCTGCTTGAGAGGAGGAGGAGGGGGAGGAAGGGCGCACACATACCTGCGAGGGTGGCGCGGGTGGTGGGACCGGTGTCGCGTGGCACCAGGACCTCGTGGTAGTGCTCCCCGGCCAGGGTGCTGTAGACCACCCTGTAGCTGTTGGCCTCGGCCTCGCTGTTGTCCCAGGCGAGCTCGAGGCTGGCGGGCGTCCGCGAGCCCACCCGCAGGTTCTTGGGGGCATCGATCTCTGCGCGACACAAGGGAGAGAGGCACCGTCTCACCGCCAGGAATGCACCCCGGAGCCTTGGCACGGCCCGAGGGTGGAGGGGCACCTGGCTGTGATGCCTGGGAGGTCCCATGGGTGGTCCCTCCTCCCCAGGGCACGGGAAGGGCTGGGATATCTGCTCTCACCTGCTGCTCAGCACAGACCAGGAGATGCTGCCCAGGTGAGCGGTGCTGGAGCACTCACAGCATCCTTAGTAAGTTGCTTTGGGAGCTAATTCCATGTTATTTGGAAAACTGTTTTCCGCCCATAGCAGAGTAAGGGAAAGTGAGGCAGTGTGAGGGCTCTGTAGCAGCCATGCACTGGCCTGAACTGCTCTTAGAAGAACCTTGAGCATCTTTACAGGCTCATTCACACCCAGACGTTGCCCAAAGTGTTTGTTTATTAGTGCTGCTGAGGCTGTGCACCAAATCTGCTCTGGTTTGCACAATAAGCCCTCTGGTGAGCGATGGGTTGGGGCTGGGCACCAGCAGACAGCGGGTAATGGTGATGGATCTGAGTTTGGGGGGGATTTTTTGTGTTGCCTTTTAGAAATAAAGCGAGGAAGGCCAACGCAGCAAATCAGTCGGGGCGAACATCTCTTCCGAAATATTTATCTATAGAGATATTTACACACACAATTCACACACCACGGTTATTACAGTAGGAGCCTCGTATCCACCAGTAGCGTACATGACAAGTAATTTATATACCATAAACCAGCATGGAAATACACACTCTGCCTCCTCCTTTATGGCACGGTAAATTAAACCCGTTAGGTGTCTGCAGGCTTAACATTAATTAAAGTTTTACTGACCAGTTAGGCTGTTTAGAGAAGATATAAAATGAGATAACCATGTTTCTGGCTGGGCTGCTTTCAGCTGCTTGACTGCTAATTCCTCAGGCAAGGCATCTGCCTTGGCTCTCAGTGCTGAATGGGAGTGAGCATTGCCTTGAATTCAGACCTGTGCTGAGTGTTTTGGCTCTTTTGAGAACTTTGCATGGAGCTCTGGGTGCTCTTAGGGGTGCTGGGTTTTAGAGTTTTAGCTCAGCTGTGTGTCTAAACGGGCACTGAATCTGGTGGGGATGTGTGTCCCAGGCAGGTTCAGACTTGATGCTGCAGCAGGACACGGCCAAGGTGGAGTTGGCTCAGGGTCTGTCTAAATGTGGGGTTTTGAGTCATCCATGCCTGGTCATTGGCATCTGGGATCACCTGGACTGCCCTGGGGACCATGTGAGCATCCCTGTGGGGCACAAGGCATGAAGACCTGTTGCACTGGAGGTTTAGGGACTAAAAAATGTAGGCATGAGTAAAGGGATCAGAGAACGGTTTTAGGATGTGTATTTTAGGGGCAGCTGAATCATTTGCTCTGCCTTGCTCTATGAGGGATGCAAGGCACCTGCATTCAGGCGTCTCCACTCACACCTGCATCTTAACCATTGTGCCTTCATTCCACTTCTTCCTCCTAGCACACACCACACTAAACCCCAGCTCACTCGTACCAGGGGCAAACCAGGTGCCACCAAATCCCAGACGCAAAAATCCCCTCACTTTGTCTCCGGATACATCCTCGTTGCAGGACAGCCCGTCTGCAGATCGCAGCGAGCCATCTGCCCGTGCCCGTTGCGGGCCTAAGAGCTCACGCCAGTTCTCCCAGCAAAGCCAGTCTAGCTACCTGTGGTGAACTGGGCGAGGGCTGGCCGGCTCTCGTTGGCACCCCGCAGGGCACTGACGGCGAGGTGGTAGCGGGCGCCGGGGCGCAGGGCCTGCAGGGAGTACTGGCTGAGGGGGGGCTGCAGGCGGAAGGTGGTCCTCCCGCCCTCCCCGTCCGCCAGCCCGTACTTCAGCAGGATGGCGTCCACCTTGGCGCGCGGCGGCGTCCACTCCACGAAGGCCACGGTGTCCGAGACGTCCCGCACCAGGATCTGCGTCGGGCCGTCGATGACTGCGGAGCGGGGGGGGGGGAAAGGGGCCCTTGTTTCTTGGGGGGGGTGGGGGGGGGAAAGGGGGAAGCTCTGGGGATGCCAAGCTTCTGGGGTGCTTCAGCCTGGCCTTCAGAGCGGCTGGGATTAGCATTTGGGGACAGGGAGAGTGGTGACATGAGCAAGGCCCCGACCCCAAGGTAGGGAGTTTGGTCCTTGTGGGTTCCCAGTCCCTTGTCCCAATCTCCTGGCTCTTTCCTGAACCTGTTTCTCTCTCTGTGGACCCAGCAGCTCTCTCATTGATACCGTTACAGCTATAATGCAACTCATGCCCTTCTCTCAAGCTAGTTATCAGCAACAATCCTTCCCTGGCTTTTCCAGGTGGTATTTCCCAAGATAAAACCTCCTATATCTAACTGTGGTCCACTTTTTTTGCTCCTAAATAACTGCCCGTACTTTTGCATTGGAAAACGTGTAACTTTGTGCCCAGCTCTTCAAAGCATCCAGACTACTTTTATCGAGGATCTTCCACTCAATTTACTCTTTTCTGGGCCTTTCCATCATTGGTAAAATTTATCAGCAATGATATTATGTCTTTTGAAAGGTGTTGACAATGTGTTAAATAACGTGGGGCCAAGGACAGATCCAAGCATTTAGAACTGAGGAACATCTCTAGAAATGTTCCTGCTTCGGTGCCAGCTCCTGGTTTGTCCTTAAGCTGAGGGATCAGCTTGTAAAGCTGTTGATGTCTTGACTGTGGGGAGAGAGGAGAAAATGCAACTGCTCTGGTGAGTCTTCATAACTAGCTGGGTGTGGGCTATGGCGGGTGTCCAACAAACCCCCTCAGATAAAAGGTTTTTAGGTAAATTCATACCAGGGATCTACTGGGAGACCCTTTCAGACGTTTCTGCTTTCTTCTGCAGAGAATTGGGCCCTCCCCTCCTCCAGAGCCCCCAACACTCAACCTTTGAACATCATGGACTGAAGCCTGGCTGATGGATGCTTGGGGCCCAGCAGGACTTGAACACTGCATGGATGAATGGGGCCAAGCCTGGCCATTGCTCCTGTGCCATGGCACTGCTAATGCCTGCTGGGCAGCCTGTTTTATCACTTGTATGATCACAAGGTGGGTGAGAAAGCCCACTCTGGTTCTGTAATTCAGAATATACTGTATATCTATATACATGTAGTATAGTGAATATAAGAGAAAATGACTATATAATAAGGGTGTGCTGAATGCTGCATGGCAGGGTCGGAGGTTCTGTGGGAGAATCTGTGTGGGCAGGGGTGAGAAGGACCAGGGAGGGTTGGAAAAAGACATGTGGGGGAATTTGGAGCAGTGGGATGAGGTCTGGGGGAGAACAGCAATGGAGGAGGGAGGGCAGCTGGGAAGCACAGTGTTTAGGTAGGAGCTGGGTGTACAGGACCAGGTCACGCTTATCCAAAATCTGAATCTCAAACTACTTCATGTTGTCCAGTCATCCAGGTGATGCATATCTACTTAGCTGTGTGGTGTAAAACCATGGCTTTTCTGCTTGATCCCAGCACAAGGTGTTGAGGCAGAACAAGGATGATGAGGATTAAGCTGTGGGAGCGCTGCAGAGGAAGGCAGACATGCCAGCACAGGGATGCCTTCAGGAAGCAGAAAGCTGGGAGCCACCGCTCCATCTGTGCTCCCTGCAAAGCTCAACCCCGGAGTTCGAAGTACCAGCCTCTGTATTTTGTGCTGACATCCCAGGGAAAGGAAGATTTGGGCTTGACCAGGAGATGTCTCTGTTAAGCCATGTCGAGCTGAGCGTGAAAGCAAAGCAGGAGGAGAGGACTGAGCCGAGGAAGCTCAGACTTGCAGCGAACTGCTGCTGGTGGAGGGACCCTCCCTTCGCTCTCACCACTGCCTCAAATTAGCAGCCTGAAGAGCATCACCTTGTTGCAGCCCTCCAGCAGCTATTTAAGTGCTGTTTCTGTTTGGAACAGCTTGGCTGGAGGTAGGAGACGTCTGCCTGGCTGCCAAGGCAGACTGCAGTAGGTCTGGCGTGGAGAGCCTCTTCTCCCAGGGAGCTCTGCCCATTGCTGTGTCTCCTTCGACGAGGAGAAGACACAGTTTTCTCTGGTCTACAGGATGGACCAGGGACTGGGCAAATAAATCGATTAGGAAGGGACATGCTGTTGTTCCTGGCTCCCGGCCCTGCTGCCTGATTTGCCTGAATAGGTGGGAGTAGAGGGCATCTAGTGGAACAAAAGCAGGTGGGAGTTTTAATCTGTTATATATGAGTAAGTAATACATTTATAGATATTTCTTGAGGGCTTGCAGCCTCTGAAATGTGAGATTAGCAGAGAAGAAGAATCTATCCAGCTATATAATAAAAGCAGACCCAAGTCTTCACTTCCAACCCCATTAACCTCGCCACGGTTTCTGTGCTTGTGGCAATTCAGGAGGGAGAGGGACAAAATACTGCATGAAGAAGCTGGTGCTGCAGTGCTTGGGCACCAGGGTGCTGCTACTTTTATCCCTGCCCATGCAGTGCCAGGCTGCTCTTGCTGACAGGATCTTATTTTTGGGACCAAGCCCTGGGCTCTGTTGTGCTCCCCCAGGTCAGGCTCACTCACGGGTTGAGACGCTGTCGGAGGTGGGAGGGCTCCTGGCTTGTTCCTTCAGGGCCACCACGGTGACAGTGTACTCCTCCCCCGGCTTCAGCCCCGTCTGGTTGAAGGTGGTGACAGTGCTGGGCAGCTGAGCGATCACACCACCCTCGTTATTCTGCCAGGGAGTGGAAATAAGCATTAAAAAACTCCCCACAAAAATGGTGTTTTTGGGGGACTGATGCATGGACAGAGGTGCCCCCCCCTCCATGTCACATCCTTCCATGGCCAGCCCTGCATCCCCAGATCACGTCTCACCATGGAGGTGCAGAAACCCAGGGTGAAGTCACCCACCAAGCATGGAGCACCCATGTTGTTGGGCTGCAAAATCCTTCCCCATCCCTTCCCCCCTCAGCTTCTGTATTTTGCCATCTGTGTATCTGCTGTTCTCCAGAAGGGAAAAGAGGATAAAAACAAAGCCTTGGCTAGACTACTTTTCCCTGCTCTTCAGGTGCCAGGAGCTTTCTGTAGTTGATGTACAGGTATGAAACTGTGAGGTCTTTATTTTGCCATCCCCTGCTTTTTAACCATCTTTATTACACTCATTACGCTTTGCAGTTTTGCCCTGAAAAGCTGTAGGGCTTTAAACAACTGCAAATGTCACCTTTCCTGCCAGTGTTTGGACAAAGGATCTTTTCTTGCTGCTGTCTTCACTAATAACACACTAAACAAATCTTTGCATATAGCTCTCCATTCATATTCATCTCTTTTCTCATTAAACAGGAAATGTTCCATTTTAGCCATCAATTGCCATCTTACCTTTCCTAATTTTCTTTGCTAAATCTGTCTTTGCTTCATTTTTCCCCCATCCCATCCTCAGTGCGGGCAGCGTATGGGCAATACCCACCTGACCTGGATTTTGGGGGGCTGGGGGGTAGGAGCACTGTGGACACCACAGAAGGAGAATTCCTCTGCAGGAAAGTGCAAGCATCCTTGTGGGGATGCTGAGGACCAAATTAGCATCCTCTCACTGAGTTTTTGGGAAGACAGGGAGCTCAGTTTTTCTCACAGAGGTTATTTGTGGCACTGCTGTTATAACTCCATTGTTTTTAGCCTCTGGGACTAGGTTTTGGGTTTATTTGGGTGTGGCACGTTCTCAGGCAAGTATTGCTTGCAGGCAGTGAAGGACACAGCACCCTCTGCCTTATTGTAGGGGAAAAGCTGGTGATGGAGAGTCCAATTTTGGCAGCTGACAGGCAAGAGCATGACTGTGACTTTCTGGTGCAGGACCTTGTACTTGGCCAATGGATGTGAGAACTTCAAAGCCCAGTGAATTATGTCCCTTCTCTACCCAAAACCTTGCATCTGGGAACAGCCAGACTTTTGCATCTTATCTGCCTTTAAATCCCAAAAGACTTCCACGTGTTTTTAAGTTTTAAGATTAAAAATGGAAAGGAGGACCAATGATTTGCATTTTTGGGTGAGCTTGAGCACAAACCTATTGTTGGTGACTCTGTGGGGAGAGGTTTGCTTCTATCCTGGTGATTCCTCACCCTAAAAGGGATATATCCTCATCTATCTGCTTCAGGGGGATGCTGTTGAGCTTAATTCCTGAGTATCAGTGAAATGTTTGAAAGGGAGCTATTTTTTCCCACCAAAAGCTCTTCCCTGATGTTGCCGTATTTTTCAGCTTTTATCCTGATGGTGAGTGAAAATTATCCCAGAGTTTATACCTGCACTACCTGAACTTCAGCTTGCAGTGTTGGCTACGTCCACATGCAAATCGTGTTGCACCAAGAACCTTCCAGCCTCTTTGGAAATGAGGGAATTGAGTTATTTAAAGCAATTGGGCCCCTGCTTTGTGCTGTGTAATGATACTTTACAGTTAAGAGCATTTAAAACTTTGGGGCCAAGTTCTGCAGTTCCCCGCTGCCCAGAGCTGCCTTTGATTCCAGCGAGGGTTTTGTACAAGTGAAAACGTCATAATTGAGCCCTTAATCAGCATTTCTTTTACTGCTGGGGCTTGAATGCTCTTGAAAAGAGGCTCCACATACAATTGAAGCTATACTTATGGCTAAATGGTGTAGAAATTATGAATATAGATGAAATACTTGATGGACAATTTTTGTCGCCGAGCGCAGAAAATACGCGATATTTAGGGCAACATTTTTATCCATCTTTTCTGGCACAATTTCTACCTGTTCATCACTGCGATTAAAATTCCGTGGCAGGAATTAGCTGTGTGTGTGACTCGGGGATGTTGAAGGTTGTTGTCTGAGAGCTGGCAGCTGCTTGGTTTGATCCAGGCAGCTCTGGGGAGCTTAGTGGAGAGAGCAGGGGAGAGGAAGAGGAGGAGGAGGAGGAAGGGTCACGGCAAAGGAGATGGAAGGGAAAGACGGGGTGACAGCAAGAGGCTGGAAGGTTTATTTCTTTATAAGCTTGTCTCTGGATTTTGGAGGGGGGGAACTTCTTTGAGGACATGTATGTCAAAACTACTGGGGAAGTGCAGGCTGGCAGTGTTTGGGGTGTCTGATGTGCAGCAAGCAAATGGCAAACACAGGCTGGGTATTTTGGGAAGGGGGTAATTGGAAGCTGATTTATGATCCGCTCACTTGGTGCTTTGGGTGTACCCCATGATGCCACGAGTGCAGCAGCGGTACCTTGGGAATGAAGCTGATCTCCCAGCCATCGAAGGGGAAGGAGAAGGGCTCCCACTGCACCTCTGCTGTCGTCTCTGTGATGGTCTTGAACTTCAGCCCCTGCGGCGTGGCGAGGTCTGGAAGGGAGCAGGGGCAGGGGTGGTGAGCAGAGTGGGATGGGTGTGTGGGTGCTGCCAGTCCCCACCCTGCTCCCTGTGGGTATTTTGTTATCAGGGCAACAAAAATGGGGAACCTTTTGGTAGCTGTTAGCAAAGTTCCTTTGTCCCCCCTCCAGGTGGGTTGGAGGGAAAAGAGGGAAATGCCTGGGCTGCTGGACACTGAAGCATCCCACTGCACTATCGTGTAAACAGAGTGGATGATGGGGTTGCAAAGGGGTGTCTGATAGTTTCTGTTTTCCCCCTGCCCTCTCTATCCTTAGTTAGTTTCCTAGGATCCTTTCTGGAGGTTGCCATTACAGCTTAATACTCCTGTTTTCCTCTGTGCATCGCAGTCCTGGTCAGGACCATGTAACTCCTGATGCACAGCAGCATCCCCTCTTGCTGCCCATGTCATGGGAATTCTTCATGGAGAACCCATAGAGGAGTGGGAGGAGAACCTGTGACTCCTGTGATATATCTCAGTATTTTCTATCAGCAAAAAGTTGTAATGTTTTGGGTCATATTCTGGGGGCTTCAATGAAGCACTGAAATTTGTTTCTGGTTTTTAGGTATTCAGGTTTTCATCCAGACTCTTTCTGAAGAGGGTGGACACATTTCCCCCTTTCCTGTAACCCCATACAGCCATAAATGGGGATAAAAGTATCCCCAGTTTTGTTTTTTGGTTTTGGTGGGGTTTTTTTAAGACTCAAGTTTCTAATGCTAGAAGGTTTTTATGGAAAATGTGAGCCAGCTTGAGCGTCCCCTCTGGATACACGGGTACCCAGCGACAAGTGCAGTTGGATACTTACTGGTCATCACCCTGGAGGTAACAGGGACGCTCAAGACATCGCTGATGACTGCGTAGATGCTGACGTTGTAGGCAACACCAGGCTCCAGATCCGTGATGGTGATGCTGCTCCAGTCCCCGGGCACCCGCTGCTGGAGCTGGGTGCCCCCTGGCACCGCCGGCTGGTACGACACCACGTACTCGGTGGCTGCCCCGGCGCTGTCCCACGCCAGCTCCACGGAGCTGTCGCTGATCCCTGTCACTCGCAGGTTTTCAGGAGGAGCCACTGGCGGGAAGGGCAGAGGGAGAGGAGAGTGTCAGGCTGTGCGTGGCTTATCCTTGCACGTGGCTGTGTGGGAGGGTGTGTGGGTCTGCTGGTGGGACACGGGCTCTGGGCTGGGGGTTACGTGCTCTCTGTGGGTGTATGAACAGCTACAGCAAGGAAAAGGCTCAGGAGAACTTGACTGCAGCCGCAGTTGCACCAGGGGTTTAGCCCCCATTTTGGGATGAACCTCGCTGGCTTTTTGCTTGCCTCCCAGACATTTAACTGTCATGTCCTTGGAGACAGAGACAACAGGGAGGCACTCAAACTGTGGGGCCTGAGTGTGTCCTCCGTGATGTGCTCTGCTGGGTATGGGTTTCTCCCAGGCTTCGTGGTGCTCCTACGGGACTCTGGGCACCTCGAAACCCTCGCTTGTACACTCATGCCTGGCTCTCCCCGTGCATGCCCCCACTACCTGCTGAGCAGTCCTGCCCTCCGTAGCCTTCCTCGCAGACGCAGAGCCCGTCCCTGCAGAGCCCGCGGCCGCTGCAGGCGTTGGGGCAGTGCAGCCACCCGCAGTCCTCGCCGGCGAAGCCCTCCTGGCACACACACGTGCCGTTCACGCAGTACCCCCGCCCCGAGCAGTCGCGGGGGCACCGCAGCTGCGAACAGTCCTCGCCGGTGAAACCCTCCTCACAGACACACTCTCCGTCCACGCAGAGCCCGCGGGAGCCGCAGCCGGCGGGGCAGCGGAGCTGGGAGCAGTCCTCGCCCCCGTAGTCGTTGTCGCAGATGCACTGGCCCTCCAGGCACACGCCGCGGCTGGAGCAGCCCCGCGGGCAGAGCGGCTCGGAGCAGTTGCTGCCCGCCCAGCCCTCCATGCACACGCAGCTGCACGACTCCAGGCTGAAGTTCCCGTGGCCGCTGCACTGCGGGATGTAATCCAGCTGCCCTGCAAGGATGCAGGACCGAGGGTCAGAGCCCACCGCGGGGGAGGTGGAGAAAGGTCGGTGCTGGTCTCAGGTCAGCCCTTTGATGGGCTGGGGAGGGGAGGGGAGGTGTGAGGCAAGCAGGGAAGGCAAGTCCTTTGTTTGAGCACGCCCAACTCTGGGAGCTGGTGGCTGCAGGGCTGGAAGGGGCAGAATTGGTGATACAGGGTCGTAGTGGGGTTTGGGTAGATCTCCAGGAGGTTATCTTTCCCTAGGGAGCAGTGGCTTCAATAACTATGGGTGCCATCAGCCTTGTTGTGATGTGAGTGCTCCCTTTGGTTTCTCTTCAACTCAGCGCTCAGTTGATAGGAACATCCCTAACCCTCTTCCTGGAAAAAAAACCTTCCCTGGCCAAACCCTCTGTGCCAGCCATGGCTGCTCTGGTCTCATCTCCACTTTTTTACAGGAAAGAGATCCTGGTCTGCTCACTCTCTCTCCTATGAGAAGCAGATATGTGCCCAAAGACATCATCTTCATCCCTATCCTGGTGAGCCTGGTTAAGACAGAGCTGTTGGCTTTGCACAAAGTGTCAGGGGTTTGGGCATGCTGGGGCTGTGGAAAAGCAGGGAAACCACATGGACACCATGGCCACGACAGCTAATGTCCCCTCTTTACCTGGCAGCCTTGTACAGGATGCTCTGGTGTGAGGAGGGATGCATAGGGACCAAGGCACCAGTCACTGATATTGCCAATGCTCCCCTGTTTTCCCAAAAAGGGACCAATTGCTGCAGCTTAGGGTTTGTCCCACCAGGCTAATTTTTCCTTGCTGATTTTTACTGCTTTTCTTCCTTATGTAAACTGAGTAAGAACAGAAACCCTTCTGTGATTCCTCCAACCCATGGGAAACCTCTGCATCAGGAAGAACCCCAAGCCCCAGGACTCTTTGTCCCCCATATAAATTGTCCATCCTAGCTGACCCATCCGAGCAGCTCCTCCTATGTGGGGTGAGCAAATGCACTTTTATAAGGGGCTCAGTTGCACGCTGTGCCAGACAGACCCCTTTGGGGTACTTTGCAGGACAATTCCCATCCAAACTGCAAATACTGGGAATGCCAATCAGGATCTGCTCAGATCTCAGCCTCTAGTTAAGTTATCAAGAGGAGAGAGGATGCTTGTAAGTAAGTGTGCTGGAGGAAAGAGGCTTTCCTTGGGGAAATGCCTCAGGCAGTGGGGTAGGGATCCTGATCTCCTTTGCAGTGCAGTGAATTGAAAGCAACTCCGGTAAAAATAAATGAAAGTACTCCAGTTTTAGCTCGGCATCTGCGATGGGAGTGGAGACTCCACCGAGCAATGAATGTTTAATGGGACTGTCTGCGTGTTTGCAAGTAACCCAAATAGGCCCATCAGAGTTTCAAATGAATTCCAGAAAAACAGGTTTTTCCCATAGCATTTCCTACACGATTTTAACCCTCGCTTTGCACACACCAGTGTTTTCTGTTTTAATTGTTAATGCAGCTGCTGACTTTCACGTGTTGGGGGGATGTGAGCTGAACCTAGAGCTGGGAATGCACTGACTTCCACTTGAGATTCCAGCCCCAGCCATCCTGCTGCATGGCCATCCTAGTTTCTCCCTCCCCAGCCCACACGCCCTTGGTCCAACTCTGTTAACCTGAGTGTGGGTTGCACCCATTTCATCTTAGTGTGTTCTACACACAGAGGAATTGGGGTACCACCAGAAAAGTCACACTAATAGCTGCAAAACTTAAAAAAAAACAGTAGGCACTGGGGGGGGAAAGGGTTACTTTAAATTTCTCTTCCTCCCTGTTGTTCTTGGTGTGAGAAGCAGTTTCCCCCTGGAAAGATGCCCTGTATGTTTGTCCCTTTTGGTGTTTTCTTCCCTGCAAGGACCCCTGGTGTGTCAGAGCCATGAGCTGTGCTTCATTTGGGATGGATGGCCTTAGGGACAGCCCCTCTTCCTCAAGACATAAGGAAAACTATCAGTGTGCTGGCTCCTGTGCCATGGAAATGCATCTTCTAGCCCAAACCTTCCCTAACCCATCTCATTTCAGCTCTGTGCTACTTCCCTGGCTCTGAAGGGCAGCTTAGGTGAAACAAGGGGATGTCTTTGACTCTAATGGGGGCTCTTGGAGAGCTTCACAAAAGCACATATTTTTATTCAGATGAAATATCCTGTTGATAGTTTTTCACCTTTTTTATAGGTTTTGTTTGCATCTTTCATGGCAACAGGAGCTCTTCTCTGTATTTTTAATTCCTTTTTTTTTTAAACTCAGCTTTTCAGATGCAATCACTCCTCTTACAGAGAACATGAAGGGGTTTATTGCCAGCTCCCATGGTGCTGCCTTCAGCCCTGGGACAGCTTAGGAGAGCAGCAGCTCTGTCTCTGCTCCCTGTCCCACGAGCAGTGGCTGATGTCTAACAGCATCTGAGGGACTGCAGGGTTGGGAAATCCTCCTGCTCCCACCTCACCAGCTACAGTTTTATCCATCATGGGACTTAAACTTTGGCTGTTATGCAGCGAGCGGGGCATCCAAACTCAAGTGACCAAATCCCTCCCGGGGGTTCTCCTGCCCTAGAGGACCTGAGCCAAGCTTTTCCACTAAAGCAGAGCCCCATCATGGGTGAACCTCCATCACCACTCTGAGTGGCACCACCAGGTTTTGTATTTCTCTCTCCTGCCTCTCTCTCGAGCCCTCAGTCCCCAGCAAGAGCGAACAGGATGTCGTTACTACCTGTGGCTGCATTTTCTTGGCAGCAATTGGAGGTGCATTGGTCCCGGAGGATGGAGACCTCCCTCTCCAGCATCTCAATCCTGCTCAGCAGCTCCTGCAGGGACGGGAGGGAGGTGGAGCACTTGCAGGCCTGCTTGGGCATGTTTATCCTGTGGGTGAAGGTGACCTGGCTCTCGCTGTCGGAGGTCTGCTCCGTGTACTCCGCCAGCCGGTCGTCTTCTGAACTCACCTCCTCGCCCGAAGACTTGAACATGGATGAGCAGCAGCTGTCCAGCGGGATGTTGATGTTGTAGATGTGGTGGAAGACCATGGGCTGCTCTTTGATGGGTGGGCTGCAGTTGGCAAGGCCCCCTGCCTCATCCACCGCTGTCCTCTCAGCCGGCTCTGTCGTCGCCTCCAGCCGGCACTCAAAAGGCTTGAGGACAGCACCCAGCAGGAGCAAGTTGAAGCTGATGAGCACATTCCTCAGGACTGGGTTTTCACTATCAGTCCCCATTTTCCCTGGAGAGGGAACAGCCTTCTAAGCCAGCCTTGGTCAGCTGAGAGCAGGGAGGACCTGGGGACACAGAAGGAAAAGAGCATGGTTGGCGTTAGCCCTGAAACTCTGCTCAGCACAGAGAGGCAAGTCCTTCTGGGCAGTTGTCCAGACACATGTGGGGCTCACTCGACCCCCACACAGTCCTGCTGGCTTTGGTGGAGCCTAAATCAACCCATGGATGAGGGGGGGGACCCTTTGTCACCCTTGAACAGTCACAAAGACAGATTCTTGTTGCTATTAGTTTTTGATTCAGGAAACAGTTAATCTGGTACTAACAAAGCACCAAATACTCTGCTCGAGGCCACTCACCATGTCTGACTTTGCCATTATCTGCCAGTGCCATAATCTTGAGCAATTGCCATCCCTTACTTCTAATGGCTCTCCTGATCTGTAGCTCCTCTCTGGTTCCCCAGGGAACAGCCCTGCCTTCTCCCTTCCCCTGCTGCTGAATGACAATATTTGTTTGCTGATTTCTCTCCTACAATAACACGCTACTCCAGAAAACATCACTATTCAGCCACCTGATAGCATTTGCAGGGTTATCATCCCATATTACTGCAATGTTTCTGCTGCACTTTTCTTCTTGGCTCCCTGTTTAATACCTGCTTCTCATGATCAGGCACTTGGGACTCCTTTAGTAGGCTCTCCTTGTTTTCCTAGTTTTAGGAAAAGCAAGAAAAATGGAAATAACTCTGCAGTGGAGTGGCAAGAAGGAGGGCACCGGACATGACAATGGGAAGGAGTGAGAGGGGTGGGATCAGTGCTCCCAAAGTGGCAATTCAGGGCTGCACTCTCAGACTGACTCCCTCAAATCCTCCTCTGCCCTTTGGGCTCTCCGGTGGCTCCTGGGTGGCCCTGGCTGACCCACGGAGAGACTTCTTGTCCCTGCGTAATGGGGCGGCTGTGACAGAGAATGGCACAGGGACTAATTAGCGCCGGCTGCCTCTGTTTGACTCGTTCCAAGCTGACTACCCACTCCTTGGCCTCTCGCTCGGCTTTTTGTGTGTGCTCGCAGTGGAAGTAATTGTGGCCATGAGCCAGCTGTGCCGAGCCGGGCCAGAGCTTCAAAGCAGGACTCCTTGCAGCATTACAGGAACAGCTTAGACGTGGGGAAATGAAATCCTTCCCCTCCTCGCTCTTCGGATCCAGCCTGGCTCAACAGAGACGCCAGAGCCTGTCTGCGAGCACAACTGGATGGGGAGAGAAGGGTCCTGTGTGGATGCAGGAAGGAGGGAGCGAGAGATAGGTCGGTAAATAAAGCAGAGCTGAGCAGATACACGGCGGAGATCGCTCGTTAATGACAGCGATCGGGTTGGGTAGTTAACGACTCTCTAACCCATAGAGTGAAAGCCATTCATTTGCTGGTAGGAGCTGGCAGGCTCATCGATCCGAGTCTCCTTATCGGTCCATCCATCACAGCTGCCCAGCTCTCGGCTCTGAGAGGCAAACCCCGGCACCCCCCTCCAGTCCCTCGGACAGGGCGTGAAGCTGTGGGAAAGGTGGCATCCCTGTGGGATGATGCTAGGGAGCTTTCTCTTGTTTATTATTATTAGAAAAAGGATCAGGGAATGGAAAAAAAATGAAAGAAAAAATAATCCTGCATTGATTAGGTGCTGGGTCGGGCTTAGTGCCGCTGGTCAGGCTCTTTGTTGTGAAATGGTGGAAAGTCACCACGGTTTGGGCTGACTCCGGCTCAGACCAGGCTGAATCCACAGGTCCTGCAGGGCAGGTGGATGCTCCTTGGTGTCCTTCAGCCTGGAGCAGACCATTCGAGCCATATATCCCTGTTAATCCTCAACTTCCTCCTGGAGGCTTGGGCTGACAGCTCTGAAGCCCTGCTGAATTTGTGGATGCATTCCCAGGGGCTGTCATCTCCATTCCCTGTCTGGTCCCGCTCGTCTCCTTCTCCTCCTGTCAATGATTTGCTTTTCCCCGGAGGAGCCATCATGCTGAGCTCAGCCAAGGTGGGTCAGTGCAGGGGTTTGGCTGGCAGAGCTCCCGAGCTGTGTGCATGCTCTGACAGCTCGGGACTTGTCTGCCTGGGAAGAGAAGCTGCATGAACAGTCCTCCTTTGGGTTCCCCGTTTCCATGTGCTCCTGGAGCTTCCCAGTCCGGCTCACGCTGCAGTGACAGAACCATTAGAAACCCTTGACTGAGTGAATAGATCCAGGATTATATATTTTTTTCCTTCTCATATGATGAATAGAAGCCAATTTCTGTGGTCGTTTCAACCCAGGATGGGACGGTTGACCTCCGGTTGCCTCTGGCACAGCACAAGCTTCTGGCTGCTGCTTTATTTTACCAGAACTGGTTACACTTGGTTTGCTTTGCTTTATTTTTTTTTTCCCTCCAGTCCCCCAGAAACATGGGTGTTTGAATTAAAGTTCAAATTAAAGAGTTATTACAGTTAATTATGAAGTTTGGCAGGCACTGAGCTCTCGGCTCCAAAGCATTTCAACTTTGGGGAGCTGTGAAAGAATCAATCTGCTGCAATTTCTGTGTGGTGCTCAATAAAAACCACAGACAATATAAAACTGAGGAAAATATTTGAGGGTTTTGCCAAACACATTCCACAGCAAAGCGCTCCCTTTCCCTCCCCAGTGGCCTCCCTCCATCCAGGATTTGTGTCTAATGGGCCAGCGAAGGAAGAAATAGAAAAACCCTATTAAGTCCACAGTGCATCCACGCTAATTATATATTTTCAGCTATTTTTACATTTTGCTGATGGGCTGTATCTGTGTGAGCAGCTCAGTGCTGGGAATGCAAAAGGGAACCTGTGTGTGGTGATGCTTGGAGCAGCTGTGCTGAGAAAGTCATTAATGGTGTGGCAGCAGTCTGGGGGGGGGCAAAATCCCCCCAAAATGCAGCACCGTGTCCCCCAGCAGCATCTGCAGCCCTGTTTTTATTACTTAGCAATATGAACGCAGCAAATGCAAACTGTGCCCCAGGGGCTGCTGCAGGATGGGTGCAGAGACATCAGATCTGCACAGTGGGATCACGGCAGTGGTGTTATCTCTGGCATTTTTGTGGGGAAAATGTAATTTTTGGATGGTCCAACAATATTTCTATTTTCATGCCGGTTTTGGTCAATTGCTTTGGTTAAAAAGATAAAAAGAAAGAAGCCCAATTCTGCCTGGGAAGATGCTTGAAAAATGAAAACATTTGTTTCTTCAGCCAGATATTGTGTATTAAAATGTCTTTGAAATCACTAAAAATGTGAAAATGAAGTGAACATTTTGTTTTGGGTGAGAAACCTTTTAATCTACCCAGAGCACATAGAGATGTATGCGTGTATATATATATATATATACCTATTTATATGCATTTATTGCATTACTTTTTCCTGAACACCAGATAAACCCCAAGCCCTACTTTTTGATGCAGATGACAGACTGGACAATCAGATCTACCTGGAGTTCAGCCCTGCTCTCATCCTTGATGCTGACCAACAAACCATCAAGAAATGGAGTTTTCTGCCCGATTCCTCGGCACGGCAGGAGCAGGCAGGTATTTGCTAACACCCAGCAGTCCCTGAGTCGTGCCCAGGCTGGCTGATTGGAGCTGTGATGTGTTCCCTGTCGGAGCTCAGCTGGCAGGAGCCAGACCTCTGTGATGGATTTGCTCCCACTGCTGCTAAGGGTGGGAGCGAGCCCAGGGTACGGATGTGCGGGAAGCCCCCGAGTGTATTATTTGGACTTCTCTCTTGAAAAGTGTCTTGGAGGTTTCCCATATTCCAAAAAAACCCCACCTGATGGATGGTTTTCAAGGCTTCCAAAACCACCCTGGAGATACCCAAGTGCTCAGTGCAGATGGTGCCTGCTCCATGTTAGGGTGAGATGCAGCTCGTGCCACTTTCCTCCTGGGCTCGTGGGGAAGGAAATTCAGCTCCATGGTGTCCCTGGTTGGCTTCCCAGCCATACACTTCCCACTCCATGGTGATCAGACAGCTGGGTAGCTGAAGTGGATTGCATTGCAAGCTCTGAAGCCCAACTCTGGAGTTTTTTAGGATCTCCAAAAAGAGGCTGCAGTACTCGCTGGTTTAGGGCAACTCACAGCTCCTGTCCCTCAGCCTCGTTATTGGATCGATGTTGAAATGGCTCCTGGGTGCCACGGTCCTCCAGCTGTGGCAGGTGGGGATGTGCCCATGGGGGAAGCACGTGTTGCCAAGCACTGACACCCAAGGAAGTGGTGAGTCCCCATCCCTGGAGGGATTTAAAAAATATGTAGATGTGGCCCCTTGGGGCCATGGTTTGGTGGTGAGCATGGCAGTGCTGGGGGAATGGTTAAACCTCGATCTTTGAGGTCTTTTCCAACCTGAATGATTTTAGGATTCTACGGTGGATGCCTTGCTTTTGCTTTGCTTTGTGATTCAGCAAGAAACTCTTGTGATTTTTCCTGTCTCACTGGAAAGAATTTGCGTTGCATCAGCTGCTAACGGAGAAATAGCGGAAATAATTGGGTCAGCTCCTCAGCAGCTTGAAACTGCTGCAAATTTGGTGTCACGAGACTGGTCTGCACCAGTAGGACCCTCCTGAGCAGATGTAGAGATGCAGCGTGTCCTGCAGACCCCTCCTGCAGCTTTCTGAGGGGATAAAGCACTGGCTCCCAGTTATTACTGATCTACTGATGTGTAGTTTATCTGTTTGAAAAGGTTTTCATTGCAGTAGTTCCCTGAGCTTCGTGGCAGAACAAAGGTCCTTGTGCAAGCAAACAGAGCCCTGTCCCTGATCAACTCCTTCTGCACCCCCTGCTTAACTGCAATCCTTATCACTGCTCCAAACACAGCCTGCTGCAGGATTTTGGGGGAATTAAAGGAGATGGAAAGCTTAGAGGAGCAAAGCATGCCCCATGACACTGGTTACTTGAAGGCCAGGCCCTGTGGACTCCTGGGGCCAGAGCTGAGGACCAACAGGGATACCTGCACCATGCTGGAGAAACAACTGAGTCATTCCATGCTG